CAAACTGTCTATTTGGGAGAGTCCGCGTGGGTTACGGTTGAGCCAGGCTGAGATTCAGAGAGAATCGCATCCCATCCCATCGCATCTAATATTGAATCCTTACGCCACTGCATAGTTTTCGTCCATTCCCCCTTGTGCCCTTAAGATTCTTTCGGGCCCACAGTTTGTTTTTTCGGCATGACCTTCACTGTGGCTGCTGCAATTGTGGTTCCTGCGACCCTTTTGCACCGAGCCATCTTCTGGAGGTAGAGGCATCTCAGACATGTCCGCAGACAGGGCCACCAAAGCATTGCCACTTGCAAATGCAGGACTGATCCGGATGGCTGCATGGATTGGTCATCGGGTTGCGTACATTTGTGATGTATTGTGTTGTGATGTCCCATATGCATTGACTAGTGTCTTTTGTCACCATCTTTCCGACCATCAGATCTAACCCATGAAACATAGGGAAACCCCGTTTGCATAGTGTTGCGTAACGCTTCAGCCACCCATAGGGCAGCCTGAGCCAGCCTTCCTGTTCACGGTGCCTGTCGCCTGATCCCCAGGGGCATCTACTCAGACGTGTGTAGTTCGAACTTGGACGAGAAGTCCGAACATGTCCGACTCTTCAAACTTTTGCAAGTTTTGGAAGAGAACACCACCTTTTGTATACAATGTCAATTTGGTGTGGTAGATTTGTTTACGAACTGTTTGGGTGTCAGCAGCTTTAAGCAACTCAGTTTCAATTCTTCAATTGTGTTGTGCATGGCCAATTTTCAAGGAAGACATGACACCGATTGCATCAAAGGCCAGAGCAAATATTCCCGAGCAGACCTATGGAGGCAATGTCCAGATCTTTTGCATGTTGCCCAAGGCCAAGCACAAGAATGATGAAAGAGATGAAACAATACCTTTAACAACTACAGATAACTACAGGAAGACCATAAAATCAATAATCAATAAAGAACAATAGCTTGATACTGCAACTAAAGTGTTGAGGAGTGGAAAAAACAAGTCAAAGCTGTTGGACAAATTTGCCGCCGATGTTGATAGGATTTCTCAGAACGAAAGGTTGGCACCATTTGTTTTCTTTGATTCCATGTCCGTGGGTGTCTTCCCCGCTGGAATGAAAGAACAAATGGTGGAAAAAAATCATTTCGAGGGGTAGCTTGACCATCCTGAAATTGAGAAATGTCCACTTAAGGCCCATGAGGCCAGATTCCACAAAGCTTCATGCAAAGAAACGTAACGCAGAAGCCATCCTCCCCGTTTGAACAAGAGGATACAAGAGGTATAGACTCCAAGGAGTCAAAGACAAACAATCCGTTTTCAAGAGGCATTCGGCAGAAAAGATCGTGCTTTAAAATGAAACGTGCAGAAATTGGGAAGTCAGCAAAAGGCAATAGACTGACAGTGAGACTTCTAGACAACTCCTTCGAACAAGAAAAAAACAACAGGTCTCAGAATCAAACTCCAAATGCTTTTCAGACAAAAACTTCGCGAGGAAAAACAAACAGACTAATGATGTTTCTTCAAACCGCTTTAAGACGTCTCCTTCGAACAGGAAAAAAAACAACAGGTCTCAGAATCAAACTTCAAACGCTTTTCAGACAAATCCTCCGCGAAGAAAACAAACAGACTAATGATGTTTCTTCAAACCGTTTTAAGACGTCTCCTTCGAACAGGAAAAAAAACAACAGGTCTCAGAATCAAACTTCAAACGCTTTTCAGACAAATCCTCCGCGAAGAAAAACAAACAGACTAATGATGTTTCTTCAAACCGTTTTAAGACGTCTCCTTCGAACAGGGAAAAAAACAACAGGTCTCAGAATCAAACTTCAAACGCTTTTCAGACAAATCCTCCGCGAAGAAAAACAAACAGACTAATGTCTCTTCAAACCGTTTTAAGACAACGCCTTCGCACAGGAAAAAAAACAACAGGTCTCAGAATCAAACTTCAAACGCTTTTCAGACAAATCCTCCGCGAAGAAAAACAAACAGACTAATGATGTTTCTTCAAACCGTTTTAAGACGTCTCCTTCGAACAGGAAAAAAATACAACAGGTCTCAGAATCAAACTTCAAACGCTTTCAGACCAATCCTCCGCGAAGAAAAAACAAACAGACTAATGATGTTTCTTCAAACCGTTTTAAGACGTCTCCTTCGAACAGGAAAAAAAACAACAGGTCTCAGAATCAAACTTCAAACGCTTTTCAGACAAATCCTCCGCGAAGAAAAACAAACAGACTAATGCTTTCAGACAAAAACTTCGCGAGGAAAAACAAACAGACTAATGATGTTTCTTCAAACCGCTTTAAGACGTCTCCTTCGAACAGGAAAAAAAACAACAGGTCTCAGAATCAAACTTCAAACGCTTTTCAGACAAATCCTCCGCGAAGAAAACAAACAGACTAATGATGTTTCTTCAAACCGTTTTAAGACGTCTCCTTCGAACAGGAAAAAAAACAACAGGTCTCAGAATCAAACTTCAAACGCTTTTCAGACAAATCCTCCGCGAAGAAAAACAAACAGACTAATGTCTCTTCAAACCGTTTTAAGACAACGCCTTCGCACAGGGAAAAAAACAACAGGTCTCAGAATCAAACTTCAAACGCTTTTCAGACAAATCCTCCGCGAAGAAAAACAAACAGACTAATGTCTCTTCAAACCGTTTTAAGACGTCTCCTTCGAACAGGGAAAAAAACAACAGGTCTCAGAATCAAACTTCAAACGCTTTTCAGACAAATCCTCCGCGAAGAAAAACAAACAGACTAATGTCTCTTCAAACCGTTTTAAGACAACGCCTTCGCACAGGAAAAAAAACAACAGGTCTCAGAATCAAACTTCAAACGCTTTTCAGACAAATCCTCCGCGAAGAAAAACAAACAGACTAATGTCTCTCCAAACCGTTTTAAGACAACGCCTTCGCACAGGAAAAAAAACAACAGGTCTCAGAATCAAACTTCAAACGCTTTTCAGACAAATCCTCCGCGAAGAAAAACAAACAGACTAATGTCTCTTCAAACCGTTTTAAGACAACGCCTTCGCACAGGAAAAAAACAACAGTTTCAGAATCAAACTTCAAACGCTTTTCAGACAAATCCTCCGCGAAGAAAAACAAACAGACTAATGTCTCTTCAAACCGTTTTAAGACAACGCCTTCGCACAGGGAAAAAACAACAGGTCTCAGAATCAAACTTCAAACGCTTTTCAGACAAATCCTCCGCGAAGAAAAACAAACAGACTAATGTCTCTTCAAACCGTTTTAAGACAACGCCTTCGCACAGGAAAAAAAACAACAGGTCTCAGAATCAAACTTCAAACGCTTTTCAGACAAATCCTCCGCGAAGAAAAACAAACAGACTAATGTCTCTTCAAACCGTTTTAAGACAACGCCTTCGCACAGGAAAAAAACAACAGGTCTCAGAATCAAACTTCAAACGCTTTTCAGACAAATCCTCCGCGAAGAAAAACAAACAGACTAATGTCTCTTCAAACCGTTTTAAGACAACGCCTTCGCACAGGAAAAAAACAACAGGTCTCAGAATCAAACTTCAAACGCTTTTCAGACAAATCCTCCGCGAAGAAAAACAAACAGACTAATGTCTCTTCAAACCGTTTTAAGACGTCTCCTTCGAACAGGGAAAAAAACAACAGGTCTCAGAATCAAACTTCAAACGCTTTTCAGACAAATCCTCCGCGAAGAAAAACAAACAGACTAATGTCTCTTCAAACCGTTTTAAGACAACGCCTTCGCACAGGGAAAAAAACAACAGGTCTCAGAATCAAACTTCAAACGCTTTTCAGACAAATCCTCCGCGAAGAAAAACAAACAGACTAATGTCTCTTCAAACCGTTTTAAGACAACGCCTTCGCACAGGAAAAAACAACAGGTCTCAGAATCAAACTTCAAACGCTTTTCAGACAAATCCTCCATTTTTCCATTTCGCAGCTGTTGGGTCCTGTGGCCCGTGCTGTCTTGCATATTGCCGCAGCAGAAATCAGCGCTTCGGCTGATAGTCAGGTAAATACTCGCTGGAAAAACTGTTCGCAGAGAGATTTGCGATACAGTCCTGCCATTGTCTGTCCCGCTCTTCAAGCAAGGACAAATTTCGAATGATAGTCCCTTCGGTCTTCATTCGACGTGCAAGCCCGGTGAAAAGAGTAACAATCAGGGCACGGCAGAGCCCAGATGGATATTCCTTTGCACACGCTGTTTTGAATTGGCCAGTCATATCATCACGTCCCGCCAAAGTGTTGGTCGGTTTCTTGAGACCTGGTATGGCTTGTACAGGGAACAGACAATGTCGTGCCCACGGGCTGCAGAATGCCAGAATTAGCTGCGGAGAAGTTAACGTAAGAAGTCGTGCCTACCCCCTAAACACAAGCGACCTCTGGCGTTTTTGGCGCACTTTTCTTGAGTTTTGTTGCGGTGCCTATGTGTTTCGCTATCAACGCCTACTTAGGGGATTTGCATTGTTGTTGTTTGGATCCAGCGGTGCCATTGGGAACTCCTGTCGTGTCGAGCTGGTTGGGTGCTTGCCTTTTCCTTCGCCCATGGGTTTATCTTCCGGCTGGAAAGCTCTGCGGGTGCAGCAGGGATAGGTGCAGCCCATTCTGGGCCGGGAGTGGCTAGGGTCTGGTTCCAACGTCGTTTCATACGTCGTTTGTACGTCGTTTTGACGTCGTTTCTTCTCCTACTACTGCCAGGAACCTGATTGCCTCTGGTGCCTGCCTGCTGTTTGCCTGCTGCTGCCTCCTGCTGCTGTGCTGCTGCCTGGTTGGAATGAAGGATGTTACTCCTTATGACAAGGGAACATGTGAGATTTTTCCTGGCGAATGTGGAATTCCATTGTTAAACAACTCAATCGAAACCATTGGTCACAAGAACAGTTTGAAACCACATCAATTAAATGAGTGCCGGAATGATTGCGGTGACAAGCAGGAAAGCCTTTTAGGCATGACTTAGGCGTGACTTTTGGAAACAGCGGTGACAATGGGGGAAGCCCCGTAGGCATGACTTAGGCGTGACTTTCTCTTTTGCCTGTAGCGGAGCGTGGCAGTCCCATTGCTCGGATGAGCGTAGGCTTGACAGCGGCCGCACCGTATTTCCATTGCTGGATATGTAGACGTTGATGTCCTGGAGCTGCACCACAAATGCGAAGTTGAAGTGGTGTTCGCCAGACGCTGGCAAATGCAGGATCTTCAGGAAGATCAGGATGCTCAAGAAGCGCTGCTCCACCGTTGAGCACAACCGTGAGCTCGATCTTGATATTTGAAAGCATCAGTGCACTGCCAGTGGCCAACTGGTGCAATTCTCGGTGCGTGAGGAAAGCTAATCCCCATGCACGTTCGGACGACCGCAAAGGTCGAGGCCAGCGGGCCACGATTTGTGGCGGTGGAGGCAAATGTCTCGCCGCACTCCATGTTTCACATGGTGGTCCAGAGAGTGATCCTGTGATGAGACCACACTTCACGATGCGCAAAAGGGAGTCCAAACCAGGGCCAGAAAGTAGATCACATAGCGCACCACCGACTGCAGTATCGATGGAGAGCATCATGACCTCATATCCTGGCAGGTATTGCGAGACCAATTGAGCAGCCCAGTCGTGGCAATCTCCTTCTCGGCGGCGGCCTGAAAAAAGGTGCAAAATGATGATCGCTCGACGTCCATCAGGAAGCTCGCAAATCGGCACCCCAGTCTGAGCCGGCCATGTGCAAACCTCAGGGTCATTTACCGGGCCTAGCAGGTGAGCACTGTTGTCATAGGCGTTAGGAAAGGGCTCGGCAGGTTGTGGTTGTCGATAATCATTTGCTGAAGGCGGTTTCGTCTGGGTCGAGGGAGCTGGAGGAGTAGCACGGTGCAAACGCTCCAAGCGATCCAACAAGCCAGCAACGGGCATTTCATAGACCAATTGTAGATACTGCTCTTCCACATGGAGCTTGTGATCCACATCCTCGATTTGGTCAATGACATCATACATGGATACTCGTCCCCACAAAGCAAAGGCCCAAATGGCTTGAGAATGCAGAGCAGCGTCCTGGTGATACGCTTCCACGATCTCGCACCACGTCCATGTAAGATCACATGCAGGATCCAGACACCAGTTCAGGGTGGCTGCAGAAAGAGCTTCATGAACTGCATCACAAAGACTGCTGGAGAGTTCATCTGGAAATCCTTGCTTGCGCCATTCGTCTTGCCAGACTTCCCAATCATGTTGATGCGCGCGACTCCAACGTGTGGAAACCGTCTGGGGATCAGGTCCTGCTGCAGCAACACAAGGGAGTCGATGTTGGCCACGAAAAATGTCGGGCATAGCAACTGATGCCGGTTGTTCAAGCGGATCCAAATGTTGAGACACCCACCAAAAACACCCATTGGGTTTCCTTTTGGAATAGCGAAGATGCTGCTGAAGACGTTGGGCAGTCCAAAAACATTTACGGCATCCTTCGCAAACTCCATTGTACACAAATCGGCGCTCTTCTGAAATGTGTCCATGCTGCTTCCAGCGGTGAGCTGTCAGGCCCTGAATGGTAGAGAATCGCTTCGAACAAGTGGGGCAAGCAAAAACATCATGTAACACACCATCATGGGCTGCTGCTGGAGGGTCATCAAAGCAAACTCCATGCTCTTGGCACATCTGCTTGATGTCTCTGTGCATGGAAGCAACATGATGAATGGTCTGCTCTTGCGTGAGGTAGCGCGCCACTGCACGTCTAATGGTATTAGGCATCTTTGCATGTGCATCATGTGTCCATTGCAAGATTTCTTCGCATGTCCACTCCTGCACAGGAAGATCTGGAACCATAGTGCCCAACCAGTGAAAAGCATGCCGCAATGCATCAAACCAAGTGGAACGACAAAGGGCATCCTCTGCCGTGATGACATCCCAAACAATTCGTGGTCCATGGTGGTGCAACTGAAGCAAAAAGAGCAGCCGGTGCTTGGCCAAACGAACTGCAAGTGGAGGGATGCGCCATCGAGCACGGAATTCTGCATCTGTGATGGTGGTAGTTTTCCAAAATCCATCTCCTGCAATTTGCCTTTGCCATTTCGTGATGACTGATGACAGATGTTGAAACTGCCGGGCGTTCAATAACGGCCAACTTCCACTGCCGTAAAAAACAATTGGCAATACCAGTGCATCAAGAAGCTTCAGTCGAAGCGGTATGGTGAGGCGTCTGTTCAGGAAAATGCTTTTGCTCATACTTCGGTATGCCGCACATGCCTTGCCAATCTTCTCATTCAAGTCTTGACGCAAATCACAAGTCTGCGCCACAACAATCCCCAAGTGGGTGTATTGCGTGACAACATGCAAGGGGTCATGGCCAGGAACTTCCAGTCGACTGAGCTCCTCAAGAACACGAGCCTGTCGACGCTCTGGGGCGCCGTGACCCCGATATTGCACAATAGCTTCGGTTTTGCCGGGTGCGCAATTCAAACGAAGCCCATAACTTCGGAAAATCTGATGCACACGCTGCATGACATCAGAGATCAGTGGATCCAAGTCATTGGCTTGAAGGCAGGGCAGTGGCAAGGCGATGTCATCAACCCATGCAATGGTGGGCAAAAGGCATTCCATGAAACTATTGGCCTGCTGAATGAGAGGGATCTGATGCAAAACCATTTGAAGCTCTTTCATGAGGGCACTGGTCATGATGTTGTAGGCTAAATCGGCGATGGGGGATCCAGGACGGGATCCTCTTGCTGTCTCAAAACACTTGTCAGACCCTGGGCATGTGAACCAAGTGTCACAGTGGGCATCCTTTATGAGTCGTGCAATGGTAGAGGGGGCACTATCAAATGCACGTGCATGGAGCGCAATGTCGGCCGTAAGCTGTTCAGGATCCAAACCTTCTGCCGCAAGGATATGGCGCAATTTGGCCGGCAATTGCATGGAAGTTGCGAAAGTGTGTTGTCGCAGCATGCAATGGAAGGCATTCTTCACATCAACAAAGATGATGGCGAGCGACACCTTCTTGGCTTCGAGCACTTTTGCATAACTGCGAAGAAGCATCGAGGCAAACACAGTTTGTTGTCCTCTAAAACCACCGAACTGCGTCTCCATACGGTTTTGCGATGCCCATGGAAGCAACTTACGGCGCATGAGGCTGTGCAGAGTTTGCCAAGCACGTCGAGGAGCATTATCCCTCTCATGCCTGATGCTGTCAGGGCTCCGTGTTTTTTCGCAATAGAGCAGATGTATCCACCTTTAAATTGAATGGGTTCTGCTGCAGTGCAACAGTCCACATTTTGAAGAGCAACGGAAAAAACACGTCAGAATGGGCACTCATGAGAGCTTGAAGATGCTCTGCTTGGACCCCATCCAGACCAGGAGCCTTGCGCCTTTTGGCCAGCTTGCAAATTTGTTCAACTTCAACCCGAGTCGGCAAGTCTGATAGCTGGATTTGCAAGGGCAAGTCTGCTTGTGCATCAGATTGGCGACGGGCACATTGTCGAAGCAAATCTTCATATGCAATTTCTTGGCCTGCTTCAAGTTGAGAATAATGTGCTGTAAGGTCATCAAGCTGAGGGCCGATACAGCGTATGTTGGCTTTCTTTCTGGCAACGCCTTTTGGAAGGAGGTGTTTGATCTTGCGCCATAAGCCAGTCAAACCTTCATCGGCAGCAACGGCACCTTGTTCATCAGCAAGAGCAGCATAAAATTGCTGATCGTCATGCCGAACTGCAGAGGTGACAGCCACACACAGTCGCTGATGCTGCCAGGTATGCAAAGCAAGGGCTTGATCGGTGAGGCGCAGCCATGGTCGAAGGCGTGTCACATCTTCATGTACCTTCTTGCATTTCCAGGTTTGAAAGAGCTCATGGAGGATGCTTTGACGAAGGGTACGTTTGAGTTGGCGTATTCGATTCCAGTGGAATCGTTTGGCTTTGATCATGGTCCACGTAGATTCCTGCAAATGGTGCTTTCGGCAGCGAGCTTTGTCACGTGGAGGCTGAGTCGCTTGCATCCATTTTTGTAAGGCCGCTGCATGCGTATGGACATCAGAGTCCCATCGCAAGTGCGGCGGTGCATCTTGCTGCAACGTGGTTGGCAATTTGGGTCGATCATGTCTGGCAATCTTGCATTGAACAGGAATACGAGCTTGCACACTGCAATGATCAGCTTGATGTAGCGTCAAGTCAACTGGTGCAATGCTCGTTTGAATGCCGTCTTGTCGCAAAGCTTGATCAACTGCAATATAATCGATCCGTGCAGTGGTGCCAGTGCTATGAGTCCAAGTGTCATGATCGCCACGATGATGGTGTTCGAAGGTTTGTGGCAGAAACAATGATTGGTCATGGAGCCACTGATGAAAACATTCGCCAGAGAGATTCTCAGTTTCCTGTCCAAAACAGCCAATGGCCTCGGAGCCAACCGAGCCTACACGAGCATTCGCATCCACAAAACCGATCAATGGCCAGGAGCGCAATGCAGTGGGAATGGCATGACTCAATTGAGTCCAGTAGGCCGTGGCAGCTTCAAATGTTGAGCAATTTGGGGCATGACCTACTAGAAAAACCAGTCGAAGCTCATCATGCGCAAGCTTGACCACCATGGACTGAGGGCTGGCATGAACAATGCGTAAATTGGCATGGGAGATCTGAAGTACTCCACTCGTGGTCTTCCATTTGCCTTGACCCACAATTGCACGCCTCCAACTCCTTGCGCAGTAGCAGGAGCGGCAAGAACATGGTAATCAAGACACATGGTGTGTCCTTGCATTTGAGACCGAGTCTCCTGGACGCCAATTACCATAATACCTTCATGATCAAAAGCTCGAATCAAGGCTTCCAATCTGGCAGTTAGGCCTCGACCATGTTCAGCTCGGTTCTGATATAAAGTCAGAACATTGGCAGTTGCGCAGGTCAACTCAAAAGAGACATTCTCAAGCGGAAATTGGCATCGCTCAGGCTTGGTCACATATGGATGATCATCTGCTCGAGGTGCCGGATGTAATGCTGCAGAGGCATTCACCTTCATCACACCTTGTTGGATACTGGGAAAGGCAGGATGACCTTGCTCGGCTTTGTCAAGCAACCATAGCCATGCAACGACAGGTTGTTCTGCAAGGAGAGATCGGATGAGATCCTGGAAGTCCATCTGTGGGATCCATGCAGAGACTGCGGCCCACGCTGCAGCATCCGCTGCTTCATTCCATGGATGTCCTTGATGCGCTGGTACGTGTACCCATTGGGTCTGAACTGAATAGCGGGCTTCCATCCATTGTACCAATGCACGAGTCGTATGTTGCATCTGCTCATGTGCTTTGGCAAACCAGTGACCTTGGGCTGTCATGCCTGCAAACATGCAATCAAAGTGGAACTGGATGAGCCATGCGGAGGAGTCCACTGATGTTTCACAGAGCTGGATGGCCCAGAGAACAGAGGTCAAAATCGCGGCCGCTTCAGCATGCGGGGCATAACCATTACTGCTCGTGTCATAGCAGCGGTAGCCACCAAATTGATCACCATGAGCAGTATGAACGATACATACCACTGCCGCAGCTGCACGTCGATCATCTTGAAGACATGCTGCAGATCCATCGGTAAAGAAGGACAATCCTGAAGGTGTATCACCCTGCCAATCAGGAATGTGTTGGAGCGCTTCTTGTGTGGACAAATGCCACTTCACAACACTTGCGCGTGGTTGCACCGGCCCAAGATCCATCAAAAGAAGCTTGGTCCGCATGTGAATCACCTGGGTGAAGTCAATGTTGATGTACGTGGGTGCAGGAATAAGTTCCTGAAGGAGAAGAATATCTCCGTTGGGTATTGGAGACGTGGATCGATCTTGGGGCCACTGAGCTTGAGCCACCGCATCAATTGTTAGGCGCTCCCAAGATGATCGTTTTTGCACTGTAGATTGCAACTGAAGAAGGTTCAGGGCATCAGTACGATCTTCATGTCCACGATGTCCACGACGATGCACATAGATCACAATGCCATACTAATATGTTTTTTTTTTTAATATAAGTTGTTTATATTCAGCATATAAGTTTTTCATAAGCTGTTTACAAGTTGGGTTAACTTGGGTTAAGTTACTTTAAGTAAGTTATAAGTATATATCATTAGTTATAAGTTACTTAAAGCAACTTAGACCAACTTATGCGACTTAACATGTTTTACTTAGGTTGGAGTTAGATCATACTTAGGTTTGACTTAAGTCTAGTTAGCTATTGTTGCATTTTTTGTGACAAACAGCTCTCAGGACTGACTTTCTTTGTAGCCATTTGGGGGAAATCTGTTGGGGAAACCATTCATGTTGGATCAAACACCATATATGACATGGAAAGGATCAAAGACTGCAAAACAGAACATTTTGCGTCTGCATGGCATGTCGGCCAGATGTCGGCCAGCATTCACATTTAACACGTTCGCAGCATGTCGGCCTGCATGTCGGCCCTGCTAAAGTAATATTAAACACCATATTGCAGGTTTGCACACCGCGTGTCGGCTGGATGTCGGCCAGTGTCGGCCATGAGATTTTCTCTGCAGCCACTTTTTTGCTCTGTGCAGACCGAAACCCCACCATGAGATCTATGAGCCAGTGTGGTGGCCATCACCTTCCTCTACTAACAAAACCGCACGAAACCAAAAGCATGCGCCAGCAAAGGGAAACCACATTTTCAAAAAAAAAGCTACTTAGCTTCAACTTAAGATGAACTTAGTAACTTCGTTCTAAGTTGTCTTAAGACTACCTATCTTAAGTTCACCTAAGTTCACTCTAAGTAACATAATTCCAACCTAATTTAAAAAAACGTATTAGTACCCATGGTGGCCTGGAAGGGGTGCACCAATCCGAAGAGGAAGATCTTGATACCATGCTTCGCACCAATGTGTTGGGTTTGTGCCACTGCACGCATGAAAATAGTTGAGAACACGAAGCAAGTTTTCAAGAATGATATGTTCATGCGTAGTAATAGCGGCTTGATGCACTGCTTGAGGAGTGACACTGTTGTCAAAGCATGTGACGACGCTGGTGACCCAATCCTCACGTGGGTGTTGAATTAAGACCACATGCGCAATCACCGTGTTGTCATGAGAGGGTGGCTTGGGGAACACAAGGGAGATCTCATAGGGAGCATCTGGGTGCAGAAGGTCTCGCCAGGCCTGGCGGATGCGATCTTCCCATGCGTCATAATCATCGTGAAGCCGAACAGGGCGGGGAAGAAATCCATGAGGTTGTTCCCACGTGTGATCGACCATCCATGTGAGAATGACACATGATGGTACCTCGCCCTCCCATGCAAATGCGTTTTGATACCACTGGCTGTAGAGATCTTGAATAAATTCAGATTGTCCTGCCAAGTGGATTCGCCCAGGCTCGAAGGCTGGGGCGGCTGGATTAAAGACAAACCGTTCGTCGCTGTTGCTAATCCAAGGCATTTCAAGTGCATCATGACATTCTTCAGGTGTTGTTGAGGATTCAATAAGGGCATCTGGATGGTTGGATACCTGCTTGACACGTCTGTGCAGAGCCGCGGTTTGAATCAAGGATGCACCGGCAGTAGCACTCGGTGTCACGTGAACTTTGACATTGTCACCAGCTGTGGCATGTCCGATACCTTGAAGGGGTACATCATGTCCCGCAAGAGCAATCCGACAGCTACGCATCTGGCAAATGGCTTCAAGCCGCATGATTTGAAAAAGCTGAGCTGGGTCGAAGTGTTGCGAAAGAAAACACGCTTGGTGAGAGAGACGTCTTCCAAGGGCGGACTCAAACACTGTCGTGATCAAGACTGGCACGTGCTGAGGTAGATCACCTTGTACAATCAGAAGATGACCAACATGATGCTCATACGCAGCCTTTGGCGGAAAGGGATCAACGACTAGAATGCGAGCAGTCAAATGTGGAATCCATTGATCACGCCATAGATGTTGCAGATCACGAAGCCAAGCATGCTGTTCAATGTCAAATCGAATGGGCCGAGCATCATCACTGCGGAGCCGCACATATGGGCACATGTGCCACGTGATCCATTCAACTTCAGCGTGTCCTTCATCATCAGTGGCTTGTGCATGTTGCATGAAAGACATGCCTACTGGTATAAGCCAGTTGTTGTCGCTTGTGGAGGAGGCAAGAGTTGAAGTTGTGGATGTTGACACAGCGTGAGGCGCATGGTGAGCCCGGGCAGCATTTGTACGACTACATTGATGAATGCGTCCTGGAAGAGAAACATCACTGTGCCGATCTCCTTGAAAGAGGGATGCAACATCTGCTTCATCATGTGCATATGGAGAAGTTTGAGCATCTTGGATCACTGCTGCAAGAAAATCGCCATGAAGAAATTGTAAGGGCATCACATCATCATGTGAAATCCAAATGTGGTTCAACCAAAGATGTCCACGTAATGGATTCTCTTGATAGTGGTCTTCAATGCCAAGGAGTCGAAAGACCGTCAATCGACTGGCAGTCTGTGGCATCCAAATTGGCTTGCGACTGAAAACCACTGGTTGATGTTCTCCAGGTGGATACACTTCTATGTCAACCAAAATCAGTCGCATGATTGGTGAACATGAAGGGCTTGATGACATTTCAACCAATAGGCACTCATGCGCAATCTGCTGGATGTCTTCCGGCATGGTGCCAACATGATGGATGGAGACCAATCGATCATTGTCTGAGTCTAGCGCATTCTGTAACTGCTGTAACATTGTATGGCGATCATGCCATGGAAGTTGCAGCAGTACAGGTTGCCCCTGTAAGGTCAGCACAAGCGTGTCTTGCCATGTCTCAGGACAATCTGTCATGGAACTTGATGGCGAAGAGACATTGGAAGAGGAACTATCAGAATCTTGCTGAGCTGGCGAGTCATTTGGATCCTGCGCAATGTCGGAGTTGTCCATGATTGGAATATGCTCCGGAGGCGGTCGTGCAGAATGCGCAAGGAGTGACGTTTCTTCAGTGTCATCTGGCCATGTATGTGGAGTCAGTGGCGGGATCTGTGCAAGAACTTGCTCCTCCCAGTCTGGCTGTGACATTGGCGGAGGAACGTCAACAATCAAACCCATGCCTTCATGAAGTCGAACTGGTTGTCCTTGCGGGAGGACTCGACGGCCAACACGTACTTCACAGTCACCAATGCGTTGGGCTTGTCTGTCGTCACATCGTGCCCCAACTCCAGCATGAAATAGGATGTGCCGAAAGGGAACTATGAAGTCAAATGATTGCGCAACCTCTGTGATGTGCATTCGAGGCAAGGCAGGCTCTACAGTCGTAATCAAGCACGCAGAGAGAAGAGGATGAGGACTTTGCACCAGCAACAGTGTTCCTGCCGTTCCTGGTCGCACGGAAAAAGGCGGCTCCGGTGTAACCAAATGCACCGAAAGCGGCAAAACTGGGGACACTAGGTCTTCCCAGATAAACCTCATGTCTCTCTCCCAGGTGTCGATATTGGTGTCAAAACGCAGGGGTCTGCCTTGTTCTTGTCGACGGTGAGTTGCATGACAAATGAAATATGAATTCATGAACAGAACTGGACCGTCTTCTGCTGGATCTGCATCATCACCTTCTTCTTGAAGTCGCTGCCAGACTTGTTGCTGCCAGTAAGGGCGATCAAGAAAAGTCTGTCCGCGGGCATGACGTTCAGGACGATCTTGATCTTGTTGTGGTGGCCCCCCTGGATCAGGTACTTGGGCGCGTTCGGCAGGATTGGGCTTACATCGAACCAAGCCCGGAACATTCACTGCGGAAACTGCGCAATTCTCATTCTCTTTGTCATCCAAAATGGGTGCAAATGTAACAGATTTGCGTGATGTCCTCCTTTTGAGTGGAACTGTAGGAGAAGGGAACACTGAAAGTGAAGTCAGAATACCATCTTGCGCCATTTCAAACGCTAGCCCTCTAGCATCTTCTCCGGCTTGCCATTCTGACTTGAAATTCCATTCATGGATAATGCTATGAGTCCATTTGAGAATTGATGGAACATTGCCATACGCATTCTCGACCAACACTGGCCATGGGTCGTCATACACTTCAGTCATGGACGACCGGCCGCCGCAAAAGGCTGCAAAGCAGCAGGCAGAGCCGAAGAAGCGTTGCCATCGACTGCCGCTTCTTCTTTGGGTGGTGGCATGTTGGCATCCAGAGTCTCCGGTGGAGTCAGTCTTGGACGCTTGAGCGAAGATTGGACTTCTGACTGAATTTCCTCGGCCTTCTGTTGGAACTGCGCCAAGGAAGCTGTCATGAATCGCATGCTCTCCGTGATCTTTTCGGAGGTGGCTGCGTTTGAAGGGCCTGCAAGGTCCTCTTCGTCGTCGTTCACCTCGATGACCTCTCCAACTGCCGTCTTGGCATCGTCGACGTTCTCCTTGGCCGCAATGAAGACCTCTCGAGCAGTGTGGATCCGCTCTTGATGCTCTGCCTCCTGCGTCTGGAACAAGATGGCATATTCCTTCCACGTTCGAACAGCATCGGTGAGGAAAGTGTTCCATGATGCTATCAGATTCGTGCGCGCTTGAAGCGCTGCCTCTAACGCATCTTTGGCTTCTCCTAATGCCTTGGCTGCTGTCTGCAAATCTTGCTTTGCTTGTGCTCCATCTTTCTTGGAAAATTCGTGGACCTTCTGAGACACATCTTGCGGCAAGTCTGGTCCGCGACGTTTCAGATAGGCCATCAGCTCTTGCATTTTGTGCTCTCGTGCTTGCTGCTCGGGAGTCAATGCTGAGGCTGTCCCTGCTGTGTGCTGCATCTGCGGCATCATAGCTGGGGCACTTGTTGGAGCCATTTGCATAGGAGGCACATGTGACATTGCTGGCATCATCATGGGCATTGCTTGACCCATGGGCATGTACCCCGGCCATGGCATTGGAGGCGGTGGCAAGGGAGCTTGAGGAGCTTGTCCTTGTTTGCCCTTGCCTGGGCCTTGTTGCGTCTGTTGTGGAGGTCCTTGACCATGTCCACGCGACTTGCTTCTGTGTGCATTGCCACCTTTCGGTTTGCCCTTGCGATGTCGTGGAGATTGAACTCTTTGGCGAGGAGATTCGGCTCGCCAACTTTGTCCCCACGGTTGATCTTGTCCCCAATCCTGTGCATAGTGATCTCCTTGCCCTTGTCTGTGCTGGTGGACATAGGATCGATCGATGACATTTTGCCACGGCTGGTTGCAGCAATAAGTTGCTGTGTGTTTTCTGAGCTGTTTGCAGCTCAAGCACCGCCAAGGTGTTGTATCGGTCATTGCACTTGTGATGAGGCTCAGAAAAGTTTGGTCTTTCGAATGGTGGTGTCTTAAAATGCGGTGAATCTGCAACAATTGATGTGGTCGAAGAGGGCGATGACCTTTGCGATGAAGGTGCCACAAACGGCGTGCAGTAGCCCGCTGCCGCCTCAATGCTCGCCGCCTCGTCGCCAGAGTCGTGCTGCTGAAAGAGCTCGACGACACACTCGTTGGAGAAGCTCACAAAATCCACAAAGAAGACAATGAAGACCAAGAAAAAATGGCGCGCCAATCCCATGTAAGCCCGAACTCGGGGAAATACACAAGGAAATAGTGCCCAAAGCACAACGAAATAATCCAGGGCGTGGCCAGTTCAGATTAAATCGAAGTGAGTGATCGACAGAATGGGGAGCAAACCAAGCAGGATAGAAATCAACCACTAATTGCAAGCCCAAACAAATCGAAGATTTGGAAAGGTTGCCGGCCTGCCCTGGACCGGCAACAAAAAGGCGACCACCAACAAAAGCCGCCCGCGGATGCTGCCAATGGCTACGCAGACCCGCTTAGGTAAAAGAGCGTTCGGGGGTCCCTTTATGTCTCTGGAGACACCCTAAGCCGATACCTTGACAAATCCTCCGCGAAGAAAAACAAACAGACTAATGTCTCTTCAAACCGTTTTAAGACAACGCCTTCGCACAGGAAAAAAATCGCTTCTTGTCACTTCTTGTCACTTCTCGTCACTTCTCGGCACTTCTCGGCACTTCTCGGCACTTCTCGTCACTTCTCGGCACTTCTCGGCACTTCTCGGCACTTCTCGTCACTTCTCGGCACTTCTCGGCACTTCTTGTCACTGTTTGTCACTGTTTGTCACTTTTTTTCACTTCGAGGCTTGGCTGAACGTTGGAATTTGGATCTTCGTAGCCATGTGTAGCCTTGATCAGCCGTTTGCAGTGGCCGCTTCGTTCCTTATGGGGGAAATCCAGTGAAACATGTGTCATGTGATTTGGCGGTTCAGGTGATGCCGCCAGCGAATAAACACGCGCTACACGTCACAATGATGTTAATGTGAGTGCTTTCCCTCGCGGTTGCGAAACCTGAATCTGGCAAGGCTGACGAGACAGCGAGACCAATCTCCTGGAGGACGCACTTGTCACATGTCACAAACCGGGACCGATGCAGATGTCTTCATCGTGTTTGCAATGTGTTTCCAATGTGTTTCCAATGCATATTCTGTGTCGTCATGGTGAAGGCCTCCGTTTATTTACCAACAAAACTGGCAGAGGCCCTGGACATCAGCAGGGTTTCACTGCATGCCGATTAGAATCTGAATCAACTCTTTTCGGGTAGATCCACATTCGGCACAAACAGAACGTGGAACTCCTGTCTCTGAACTTGCTCGAGGTGTTACTAATTTCACGGACTTGGCGTGTTCTTTCATGTTTTTTCTTGAGTGGTTCTGATTATTGGCTCTACTGGGTCCCAGGGTTAAGTCGTTGCATTGCAGTTTTGTCGTAGCGGACCAGCGTGTGCCTTGCAGAACTGCATGTTCTAAAGCTTTATTTCGTGATAATATATGTTGAACAGATTCTGATATTTTGGTCTTGGGTAAGTGTGTGCGTTTGCGGTCCGTTTCTTCCGTATTGTTTGGTCATGCATTTTGGAAAGTTTTAGTTGGTGCTAGATTGCTGCTGGACTGCTGCTGGGCTGCTGAGCGAGTGCTACTAAGCTGTTCTCAGAAACAGTTTGTTACATTTTGTTACTGGATCGAAACTGCTGACAGATTGCTGGTAGATTTTCATCATGCTGCTGCAACATTGCTGCTGGCCTGCTCCTAGATAGACTGTTGCTGGGCTGGTGCTAAGCTGCCGCAGAGCTGCTGCTAAATGTTTGCTGGGTGTCACAATGTGCAGCGTGCAAACTGCTGCTTGGCTGCTGCCCCACTGCTTGGGAGCTGGCGTTGCCAAAGCTACTTTCTGACCTCTCTGACCTCGTTTGGTATCTCGTTTTGACCTTGTTGTACAGTTGCTACATGTTGTAGCCCCTTTTACTGACCGAGTCGCTGTGAGCAGGAAAAAGTAGCAGCGCTTGAGGGTTTTCGGGGTCACTGTGCCCGTTGCGCTGTTTGTTGTTTGGTTGGTCGCTGGGTCATGTCTTGCTTGCTGTTTGAGTGTGTAGTTTGCTTGTTGATTTGCCCGTTCATGTTTGGGTCGGCTGCCTGAATAGCTGGTCGTTTCTCGGCTGGGGTGGCGTTGTCGTTGGGTCAACTGGTGTAGCCGCAAAAGCCTTTCAGCATGGTCGAACCAGCGTCAGTGTCTCTGTCATGTTGTGCAGAGCGCTCCCATGCGCCTTCTCGGCCCACGTATACACCGTTTCTCGAAGGTTCCACTCGGTGTGAGACAACGCTCGCGTGCTGTGTGCCTGTGGCAGGCATGGGTGTGCTGTTTCATTTGGCCTTGATATTCCCGTTGCTGTGGCCAGCCATCGCGGCGTATGACAATGGCCTCCCTAATGGCACATGTTTTGACACTGCCATCCCTGAAAACCTCCGCAAGAACCTGACCACTCCTCAGGGAGAGTCGGTGCCGATTACTTTCCTGTTGGCAGGATGGAGTTCCGCCCAAGTCACCAGCTCCGTGATTGAAATCCTATTGACAGAGATCATGGGGTACAACATTGCTATTGGCAATCGACCACCAGCTTCAAGTGTGGATTCCATCTACTGCATGCTGGGTTGTGCAACCTGGTGGAATAACACTAATCGTGGATGTGAAACCAGGAAGATCATTCATCATGTGATGGTTGAAAGCTGGTATCTTGGCTTTCCCCATGTCTTGGACTTGTTGGCTGAGATGTACCAGGCAGGGAACCCAATGTTGAACATTGAACAGTTGACATAATAGGGTGATCAAACATGGAAATGGCAATTTTAGAAAAACATATTTTGAATTCATCAATTTGCGGTGGAATTTCTATTGCCATGCCTGATTTCCGGAGGGTATATACTGGAATGGCTCAATGACCATCAAGCTCAGGAACGAACGAACCCAAACATCCAGGCAATGGCCGCTAGATGGTAAATCAGAGATTTGCCATGCGCCTCAACCACGCTCACCCCTGAAAGGACGAGATGCCGTTCAGCGCAGGTGACATGGGATATCCGGGTACCGCTGGTGGATATCTTCCAGCGGCCCCCTTGACCCAAGCACTAAATACCACAGGCGTTCCGTTTGAGTACTACAAGAACTGGGATGCAGCTTGGTTCACGCCCTCGGACTACTTCGTGAATCTGACGGCTGTTACTTGCCACCAATACAACGTGCCAATGTGTTGAACATTATCATGTATATATATATAATTATATATATATGCACGGCAGCTGCACTTGCACAAGCAATCGTAGATGGAAGCCAGTGAAGGATTGACAAAAGGTATGGCAATGCGATACGGCGGAATCTTTCCTTTTTCCACTGGCGGTTCGTTCCAAATTGCTGGTAACACCGATGCCACATGTTGATCGTGGAGAGGTGACAAGTGGTCACACTTTCATGCCACCTGTTGGAGGAAATGCTCATCATGGACAACAACAAAACAAGAACAACCACCCAGCAACAACGAACGAGAAAAAGGGGGAAAAGACATCGTCATCCATCAACGATCAAAACAAACCACATCCAAACCCAAAATATTTACCCTGGTCCTTCACAGAGGTGACCTCTACTGACTGCAGAGTGTGGTGAGGTACGGTTGTTTTCTGCATCTTCAAGAGGCTGTTGACCCTTCTCCTTTCGTTCTCGTGCTGAGGACATAGTGGGATCTTCCACTATCTTCCAGTGTTGACCCATATTGTAGTACAAGAGCAATTGCCTTAGTTCACGTGCCTTAGTCAGTCCATTTGCAAGTTGCGCGTCAGAGTGGACCCATCGGGCTAAGACCTGGTTGACAGTTTGGGATTCTTTCAATCTCATGAGTGTCACATCAACCCTCTTCTCCGCACCTTTTGCTACTACAACCTCAGTCGCAAGTTTGTCATAAACATTTCAGCTATCTGTTACAAGACATCCTACAATCTTAATTACAGTTGAGTTGGGTTCTTATATTTACCTGATGACCCAACATTTCAGCAAGCTGGAAACGACTGAAAAACAATATATCTTCAGCATTGGTGGCCGCTATGGCCTCGCTGGAGCCTGGGCTCGTGCAAACACGTCCCATCTTTGAGGAATGCCAAGCAATCGCGGAAACTGGGCTACAACGTCCTTCTAAAATTTCCTTGGACGTAGCTCCTATGAAAATTCCTTGAGTACTGCCACCATCGTGGCGGTTGATTGAAGCTGCGTCTGCCCATGCCACCAGTATCAGTTCTGAGATGGGAATGCGGTGAATGACCAGTGATGTGTCTTTCATGTTTTTCACCTGGTCCAAAAGCTGATTTGCACGCAGTAAGGTTTCTACTGTGCTAGTGTTGATTTCTAATAACATCAAACTCACATCAGCGGAAAAATGTGGTGCCACCTGTTGCGCATGCCAGCTAATGCCTCCCAGTAATGCTCTCAGTTGCGTCTTTTCAAAAGAATCAGTAGATGCATGTTTGTCTCCACGCCGTGAGGCTCGGATATTGATATGCTGAAGTTCTTCTGCATACTTCTCCTGGGATAATGTGTAGGTACCATCATCATGCTGTTGTACCAAAACACCACATTGCACAAACTTTCCAGATTCCCATTCTCCCCATTTGTATTGTTCCTGTATTTTCTGTAAGGTTGACTGCCAGAGTGGATCATCATCAGCTTCTGAAAACAGGAAATCCCGTGTCCAGTGATGATTCCACGTAATTGACCTTCGTGGACCAGAGTCCAACAACAAGGATCGGACCAACACTTCTTCAAACCCAGTGAGGTGAAATAGCTGCTGATAGATCTGTACCATTCCAATGGCGCATCTACCAGGCCATAGCATGCCTTCTTGACCTTTGTCACTGAACCGGGAGCCAGGCCCATGGCTTGGCAAATCTCATCGCAGGGCACGCAGAGTAACTCCTCAGGCTACTCCCTGGATTGCAGGAAAGCACCTGTAACGTCACCTTTCTTGGTGCGAAAACCTTTGCTCGCACTGATTTGCAGTTGTAATTGCCTTGACAAACGAGTCGTTGTTGGTGAGTGTGTTGCCCTGTTTTCATATTCTGGATCCATATAGCCCTGAAGTACTGCTCTATCTTTCTTGCTATACCATGGTTTCACTTTCCAGGTCAAGATCCATCTCATGTTGATCACATCCTCCCGAGAAAACTTGTGTTCAGGAGCCAGTGCTTCGAAAGCCCTTGCAGAAATAAAATTGTTTACCTCAATCGCTTTTGCTTGATCAAATTGTTTCTTTTCCTCTGGAGTGAGCCTTCGTTCTGAAATCTCCACAGCACGTCGCTTCATAGCAGTTGTGAAGTATGCTTGTAGATACTTGAAGGCTCTCTCAGAACTGCTTTGCGTTTGAGGCATATCAATCTCTACCGAAAAGACAGAGTTCCGAAATTCCTGTTGTTGACCTTGGTGGATGAAAAACGCCTCATCGACTTTTCCAGACCAGTGTGGGGCTTTCACAAAGCCGTGGCTCATAGGCTCTGTGTTGTCGTGGCCACGGCTGCGGCTCCGAGATCGTCGCTCCCTTGGTCCTTGAACCTCTGGAAGTGGACTACCTGACGCTGGCATCAGATCGTCACTTCCTTTGGCAGGAACCTCCGGAATTGGAGCTCCACTTTTTTTGGTTCAGCCGTACAGTGGGTTGCCACTCTGATGCTGGGTCCCTTGCTCGCTTCCACTCCCCTATTGTGGGGACTGCAGTGATGTCTTCATATTCGTTGCCACCCAGCTCTTGTGCCACTTTAGGAAAATCCCATTGTGGTACTTGATGTTGATCATGTAGTTCAGTCAGTATCTTTTCTCTCACTGAGGCATGCCTCAGTTGTTCTGGGCAACATTTGAGGAGGCGGCGTCCCCTAACTAGCCACACTGAACTGCCAGGAGAGTCCCGCTTCTGTTCTGTCGCTAGGATCCTTGCTGGTCCTACAAAGCGCCCTTGTCCAATCTTGTTTTGTTCAGCGTCCACCCCTGTCAGTTGTTTTCTCCAAATATAAACCATGTCCCCTGCAGAAAAATCAAGGACTTTGTGATACTTTGAGGATGCTGCGCGTGACAACCGCTCTTTGGCCTGCCAACTCCAAAAAGGATTTCTCTGCCACCAATCTACGGTGGTGGTTTTGTGCCATGTCCTGGCGATCAGAATCTAAAATAGGTTCCAATGCATCATGGTTCAGAGGAGTGAAAAACCTTCCTGCTTCATCTGGAGCTCTACCTAGGACATGTTGAAACGGTGAGAATCCGCGGGCTGTGTCGCGGTGATTCAGTGCCCGAAAGGCCTCTGACAAAGCATCCTGTGCAGAAATGTCATTTTCTTCTTCAGCCATACATTCCATGACATGTTTAACCGACTGAACAATTCTTTCACAAACCCCAATTTTCCAATGAGCTTCAGAGGGGATAATACCCAAAAAGATATGATGTTTGTCACAAAACTCTTCCAATTCTTTGCTACGGAAACTGCCATCGGGGTCCAACGTCAAAGTTGGGGGTACCCAAAATACTGAACCCATGATTCCCTGAAAGTTAGGAGGAATTGAGCCGCTGAGACATGTTGTTTCTTCCCTTGGGCCACCATTTTTCCAACTTTAAACCTGGAACCCTCATCAACCATAACCACAAACTGCCATTTTTCCTGGGTATAGGGGTGAATCCAATGACCGATGTCAGCACTCACCGTGGCAAATCTTTGGGGCAAAGGTTCCAAAGAGGAAACATTACGTGGTTGGGGCCGTTTACGTTCCTCACAAATTGGGCATTTGAAATTCTCAGCCGCTTTAATGATGGATTCAGCCATTCCCCTCCTACGCAAGGTTTGAACCAGATGTTTCACTTGACCATGCCCAGTTGCAGAGTGGAGAAGATACAACCGTCTTTGCACCTCTTCGGGGGTCATTTTGGTGGTCAAAACCCCTTCCCTCTTATCAGCAACCATCACCCCAGAAACAAGGTTTTTATCCCGGGTACAATGCCCGCAAGTTAACCCCGCGTCATGATACTTCCCTTCTCCACAAACACACAAGGTTCCCTTACCAAACTCATCCCCAAAATGACCCGAACCATTCAGTTCCCCAGGAAGCATTTTTGGGTCTCCCTTTTGAAGGATGGCTTCACAAACCCTGCGAGCGAAAGCACGTGTGTAGAAAGCCGTTTTCTTGGTGATAGAACCCTGACATGGAACATGAGTGACCCCTGGACCACACCTACAAGGCAACTCCATGCGTTGTGACATGAGTGCATGAGTAGTCATCAGCTTCCAACCTTTTTATGGGATCCCCCTTTTCAGTTTTCAGACCTACCTGACAACCCCTTACTTTGGCAAAATGCACACCATCCAAAACTGCAAGTTTCTGAAGGAGAGGGAGAGGCCAGGCCTGGCAAGTTTGTGAGAGTTCCCATGTGGTGTGAATACCACTTTGGTAACAGTACCTGAATATGACTGAGCATGCCGTGTACTGCTTGAGGGCATCCCTCCTTTTTTCAGCCAGAGCTTCACACTGCTCCGGAGTTCTTTGATTCACATTCTGCATTATACTGTAGGGGCCACAGTCTGGAGACAGCCAGACATGTTCAGGTCTAAGAACATCGATCTTATCGAAAACAGCTTTCAACCCCGAGTTGGTGGTCAAATCATACCCATTCCAGATGGACAACCGATGGGCGGAACCTGAATGACCCGACAGTTCATGCATCATTGTGGTCAGAATGCTATCTGTGCTGCAGTAATATGGTACCCTCAGGTGCTCGCAACTCATGAACCGTATCAGCTAAGAGGTCCCGGCTGATTCTAGCAAGACACCTGTGAGCTAGGCTTCCGGCCTAAGGCTGGAACTAGGCTAGGGTCAGCGCTCTCAGACCACGAGGCACCATCATCAACCACAGAAGACGGTGAAGAGGGTGTAGGGCTCACATCACGTCGAAGCTCCCGGTGTCGCTGGCAGGCTTCTTGCGAGGCTTGCCCTCCTTGAGCTCTTGGACTTCCTCCTTGGGATCTTTGACCACAGTCACCAAGCTGGCCATCAACGCTCTGGTAGAGGAGCTCTCGCTGAATGTCTCTGAGATCACTGAAGGTGCGGCCATGGCTTTGGCCTTCGGCTTGATCGACGACTGTCGAAGATAGCCCATCTGGATCAGCTCCTCCTTGGTGATGGGGTAAGGTGTCAATGGCTCCTTGGTCGAAGTGGCTTGGCCCTGCTTGAGCTGTCTGCACCACCCACTTGCAGTACTCCGGCTGTGTTTGCTTCAGCTCCTGGTAGTGGAGAGCTGTATGCGTTCCAAAGCCCACTGGATCCATCGCACTGGGAGGTGCCATGTGGTAGATGGCCATGATGCCCTTCTTCTTGAGCAGGGCAATCGTGTCGTTGGTGCTGATGGGCACCTTGAGCTCGTCCCGCACGAAGTTGACCAAGTCTTGCTTCTTGTTGCGGGCTGCATTGAGACGGATCATCATCTGTCTCAAGGAAGTCTTTTCCTTGGCCCTTGGGTTTGGGTTCAACCCTTTGGCCACCCTCAGTTCTTCCATCCGCAGCTTCATCTCGGCATTGCTCCACGACTGCGGTGGGAGCTCTCCAAGGCTGATCAGCTCGTCCAGGATCTCCTCGCGGGTCATGGCTGACATAGTGAGGGGCTGGTGGATCAGCAGGTGTGCGAGCTCGAACTTGAGAAGTGGCTCTGTCATTCTGCTTCTCAGCTTCTGGAGTCAGACCACTTGTTTCAGAACCAGGTGGAGTGTTATTTTTGGGGTTATTAACAACAGACATTGAACCACATCACCAACAACATCCACATCTTCATCGCATCCATCGTTTCCTTTAACAACCAAAGTTTCATGTGATGAGATTTCCGACAGCTGTGCACTACCCGTCCTACTACTGACCTTTCTTTCACCTACGGGCAAAGATGAAGAAAGGAGTTGTCCCTAGATATAGTCCTTCAGACTGGGCACTGGCGATTGAGCCAGCTTGGACTGGGTGAACCAATCATCAGACAATGGCAACAGCTGATGTCCTGTACAAGACCTCTCCAACTCAACGATCCTCTTGGGATCCAGCTCACGAAAAACAATCAAGTCTTCTTTGAAATCTACGATTGCGTCGAGGGATCTGAGTGTCTCAATGGAGAACAAAATAGGACTAAAACCACGATCCAGAGTGTGAACTTTCAACTCACCACCCCGACCCGGCTTCCACATGCATCCATGCCATTGACAAACAGCGATCGGAACTGGAGTTCCCGAAGCCGAAAGCTGGACGCTGCTCACTATCTACATGTCGGAGACCTGTGTCCTCGGCGGTGCTGATTCAATTCCATCAAAGGTTCTACAGCCGCTACTGACCCTAGGGTGCGTGTTGCACCGCCATCTAAAGATGGCCTTGCCCTGCAACATGGCCTGCTCAGAGGTGACCCCTTCTCGCACGACATTGCCTGTGGCCTGGGCCTCAGAGAAACAGACAAAAGGTGCTTCTTCTCGAGGTTCAGCCGATGAGGCATTGTCCTGGGTGCGCTGAGGGCATTGTGCCACCTTATGGCCCACCACGCCACATTTGAGGCACTTGCCAGCAAAGCCACCTGTGGAGGTAGAGGAACCACCTGGAGGGCGAGTGCTCCGGTAGTCAGTTCTGTAGAACTGGCGACTCATCTTCACTTGATGCTGCTTGGCCCTGGCTTCTTTGAGTGTTTTTCTACCACGCTCCATCAAAGCCAGGGCTCCTTGAACTTCTTCCTCTGCCGACTCGATCATCATCAGGCCCTCATCGTTCATGCCTGACTGTGCCAGGCCATTCAAGTCTGGCTCATAGATGTCTTGCAGAGAGTCTTCTCCTGGAACATCTTCAGCAGCCCATGCGCTGCCGCGAGTGCCCTGGTCTCTGTGGCGTAGATTGTGATCCGGCCATTGGTTGCGCAGCTCCTGGGCCACGCGCTCCACCGAGAAGTCATTCTTCAAGGCGGTCATCACCATGTTTCTCTCATGGGCCTCCAACCCAGCGTCCTGTAGCAGAAACCAGCCCTGGACAAAGGAGGGAAGCAAATCCACTGATTCTTCGATCCATGTGTTGACCGGGGTCACTGCGGCACTTCCATTGTTTCTATCATTGTTGGACCAACGGCCCCAGTCCCATCCACGGTGTGACCAATCCCCTGATTGCCACCATGACCAGGATCCATGCCATTGATCATCTTCTTCTTCCTGTTCTTCTGGTTCATCAGCATCGTAGTAAGCTGCATCATCAGGTTCAGCTTCTTCAGCACCTGCATGACTGGCGGTGCTGCCGGCTCGACCACACTGCCTTGACTTCGAGAGGCTGTAGTGGGAGCGTAGCGATGCTGAACACGGTCCAGAGTCTGGCAAGCCCTAGCATACACTTCAGCTTTCCTGGTGATATACTCATTCATCCCCTCATGGCGAAGCCTTCTGTTCTGCTTGAAGTACTTGGACATGTACTCGGACATCTCAGTCAACTGTGGCTGACCTAGGTGTCGTCGGAGATGTGTGATGAGGCGTGAAACTCCTCCATCATGAGATATCCAGCCAGGCTTCATTGCTAGACGAACCTCCTTGCCGTTCCGGTGAGTTCAGCTTGGAGTCTGGGCCCGCACAGATACCTTTTGTGCTTGGCCACAGATTGTTCCCAGTGACTTGCCATTTCAGCATACTCCTGAAACGTCGCTGCATTCCCGTCCCAGCATGGTACACCATCTTTGGACCTTAGGATCTGTTGGAATCCTTTCTCATTTGCTGCCATGTGTTCTCCAGCGGCCTCGCAGCCAGAGATTGTCTAGGAGCCCTGGATCTCAAGCCTCACGCTGAGGCTCCGCTACCATGCACGGCAGCTGCACTTGCACAAGCAATCGTAGATGGAAGCCAGTGAAGGATTGACAAAAGGTATGGCAATGCGATACGGCGGAATCTTTCCTTCTTCCACTGGCGGTTCGTGCCAAATGACTGGTAACACCGATGCCACATGTTGATCGTGGAGTGGTGACAAGTGGTCACACTTTCATATATAAATATGACCACAAGTTTGTAACAGAGTGCACATGTTGGAGCTCAAGGCTGTTCATGCTCGAGCTATCCTCAGCTGCTGGTCTGGTGGTGCAGGGTTTGCGTAGTAACCTGTTTGGACTCGCGCGCCCCTTTTACTGCTCCAGCCCATGCTTTGGATCTCTCGCTGCCTGCTTTCTGCTTGGACTTTTGTGCGGCGTTGGTTGCTGTGCTTGGCTTCTGTTCCGGTTTGATTGCCTCTGTGGACTTGCCTCCACATCCACCCTTCGCCTTGTCCTGCCCGGTCAAGCCCCTCCTCCTGTGTGAGGGCACGTTCACATCTGTTGGAGTATCAGTATGAGCTGCCACGGCGACGTCATTGAGGCTTCAGTGGACTTTCCTGGACTTCGAGTCACCGTTTCTGGCACTCCTGCTAAAGTTGCGGATTTTCTGCGTTTTGCTGCCTCTTACCCTGTTGATCGTGCCAGGTCTCCTGCTCCGTCGGTGGGCTCCTTTGAGTTGTTGTCTGAGGTTCCAGAAGCTTCAGCTGCCCCTCCCCGGACTGGACTTGAAACCCGGGATCAGATCTCAGCCTCGTTCCTTGCTTGCCCGGCTCATCACTTGGCTCTTGGGATTCGCCTCTCTGGTGCTTCTCTCTCTGGCCGTGATCGTGTTGCACGTGCTTGGACTGCTGGCTTGTGGGCTAAGGCTGTTCTTGAGGGTCGTGTCTTCACCCCCAACCGGACTCCTCCCTTGGACTTGCGGTCGCATTTCTACGCGTGGACTGTCCTGTCATCTATCGGTCCTCGGCCTCCTAATGGCGTGCCATCGGGTCCTTGGAAACCAGTGGGTCCCCACTCCCCCACCCCCCCACACACCCCCCACCACATCCACAGGGGGGGAGGGATACATAGACATATGCGTATACACATACATATACATACATACACATACTACATACGTATACACATACATGTATATATATATATATATAATCTCGGGGGGAGAGGGGGGACCACCAAACGCTGGGTATATATATATACATACATGTAGCATCTATTTATTTATTTGTTTGTTTACTTATTTATTCATTCATTTTTTTAAATGTGTGTTTTTTTTCCTGGGCTACTCATGCCCTATTGCCCCGTGGGTCATGGCAAACCGTTTTGCGCTCGCAGCGAGGTTGACACAGCAGACTTCATGAAATGCAGCGAAACCACGATGCACGACAACGTCACCGCATATACCTTCTTCAAAATCAGCGGTGATACTGACGGTGTCGTCATCACTGAGGAAAATGGAGTGAAGACGTACAAACTTCTTTGCCAGGACCAGGGCCCAAATGGTGATAGAAACCGTGGGTTTCAAAGAAATGGTAAAAACATGAAGATGTGTTGCATATCATGAAAACATTTTTCGATGCAACATATGCAGCCTCATTTTGAAGTCCAGTGTTGCCGCTTGACCAAAGCCGCTGCCAGGACGAGTACTTTTGGCGCCCCAGCAGCTGCAGAAGTGACCCAAGCAAATGCGTCGTGTTTGTGACTGGCGGGGATGGTTGGGACATTCCGCATGCACCGCAGAGGGCAGCAGCATATAACATGCCATTCGCCATTGGGGTGGCTGCTTCATGGAGCAAGTACTTGGAAGTGCCTGGGAAGTACAAGTCGATGTACTTCTACTGGTGGACCCCAGATGATTCCTTCATTGAAATGCAGCCCACCAAGCTGATCTTGCCAACTTACGATGCCTATGCTTGGACCCTGAGCGATTACACCACCGCTGCGGCAGATATAAAAACTGCAAAGATCGTACCAAAAGATTTGACTATAATGGCTCCTGATGTGGTGAAGCTCCTGGCCGCCAGCTTGTTTGATAGCGCGGCAGTGGACAGCATGATGCTCAACATGAAAACCAACTCACTGACCCGGGAACAAGCTGCTTGTGCCTGGTTGAAAGGCAACGATGTTCGGTGGAACATGTGGATTCCAGATTCCACCAAGTGCGACCCTGGCTTTGGGCTTTACGATGACGCCACGGAGGTCTTCACTGCCCAGCGAACCACAGCCACGACTTGCAGGGCTTGCCTTCCAGGGATGCTTTCCAAGGAGCAAGCTTCATGCGCACATAGCCCCATGTTTCTACATGTTCCCTTTCACACCGTGCCAAAATTTTGCGGTCTAGACTATAACATGTCACTCCATGTCACTGGTCACTCCATAGCAGGTCTAGACACAAATGGTGTTCAAATGTCGAGGCCTATTCCGATGATTCCGGCCCCACCTACGTTTGCGAAGCTTGTCCTGCGGGCCAGCAACAGCTGGGAGCCGGCGAAATGGCTTGTGATCCTTGTCCTTTGGGCACGTCCAAGTTAAACCAGTCCACAGAGGAGTGCGCGCTCTGTCCGGCAGGCGGTCAAGAAAGCAAATGAGTCGAACCTGGTTGACCAGTCGAACCCTCATCCTGCACCAACATTGATTGTTAATATTGAATCGTTGCCTGCGTCATTGAAAGAATGATAGAATTAGTTGGTTGTTCGGTCGTCGGTTGTTTTGTTGGCCCGCGCCTCCCAACGTTGTGGTCTTGCAACATGCCAAAAACTGCCCAAGTATTGCCCTCACTATGCGGCCAAAGAACTGTTTCAACTTACGGTTCCGAGCCTTAATGCCACGAGCTCCACAAAACTTGTTCTCGGTCTTGCTAGTATAGTTTTGACCTTCAGGACCCGTGACCAGTTTTTCTATTTCTGGATTCAGCGCAATCCTCAAGCATTGACGAGGTTGAAGAATGGATCTCTTAGCGTGTGCTTTCATTGGTCGTACTTGGTCATTCATCCCATTGCATTCCTGTTTGTCATTCGGCTGGTCAGTTATCGCATTTCATTGCATTTCCGTTTGCCAACATGGCTATGGGTTATAACTATTGGCCAAAATTTGGTTGAGCCAAAGTCGCAAGCTGTGCAGAGGTTTTTTAACTGAAGGGGCTGAAGATGTCATGTTCTGCCAGGCCAATACCAGGACGAGGAAGGAGCTTTTCAATGCAAGAAGTGCCCGCCAGGAACAACGACCATGATTTTGGGAATGAAGTCAATTTCAGGACAGATTGGCTGTTTCGAAATTTGGTACAACGTGGCACGTGGTGCTTTGCTCCCATAGAGTTCCACCAATGAAAATTTCCCCGCCGTCTGCAGGATGTGGTTGCAAGGCTGGCAGCATCGATGTCTCTGATTTGAACTCTCCACTTCGGACCGCAGCCGATTGCCAAGCCTGCACCGCCGGTCTTGATTGCCCCACCATGTCGACAGTAGCAGCGCTCAAAGCTGGTGTGTCTCCCGTGGGTGAGGAGTTTACGCCCATGGTCATCGAAGGATACTTGGATACAGAGGTATAGTTGGTCATTCATTATGCATTTGGGCAGGTACAAGCTCCTTCGGAGCAGGTTGCAAATGGCTTGTTTGGTGGCCAGGACTGTAAAGATCTTGTCATGAAAGATCCGGAAAAGTCTGAACTAAAACTTGTTTTTGACATTTGAAACGTGCATTTTTCATCATCTCTCAGCATATCTGGGGTAGCGCAACTCAGGCTACTTCAGCACCGAGTCGAAACCGATTGAGCTGTTCAAGTGCTCGAGCCCAGTCGAATGCCCAGGCGAAACTTTCACAAGCGATTCATTTTGAAATATTTTGAAGTTTGAAGTGACAAGTCGATGAAGATGACGCAATCGAATATAGGAATGGCTTGTTGCAGAGAAGGTGGGGACACAGGTATATTGTGCTCGGTCGCAAATTTTACGCCGCATTTGATTCAGGCGGAAAGCCTGACACTTGTGGCGGAGATCGCGTTGGGGTTCCTTGTGGCGAATGTCCGGCTGCGACCTATTGGGCCGGATCGAAATGCTCAGGATGCACCGCATGGTCTGCGATTGGTTGGATTTTGTGCATTGCGCTCATCTTCGCAGGCGCACTGGGGAATGAAGGGGAGGGCACTTGTGCGGAGACAAAATGATAGAATTGGTAGCTTGCAAGACTTTGTGGTCAATTTGCCCACTTGGTGTCCACAATTCCTTTCGCCTGCTTTGATGTTCCAGATCTCTGTCGATGTGGCTCATTTGCAATGCTGTAGCCATAGCCCAACATTTCCACTCGTTGGGATTGGTTGTTATAGGTTACCGTTTTGCCCCTGGAGTTTTTTCTGAGTATACTGTATACTGTATACTTATTTTTTTCATTTCATATCCATAGACGTTTGCCTAGCTATGGTTTTAGTATGATCCATTCTAGCCATAGTTTTAAGCAGCGGTAATCCATAATATTATCGTGTCTAGTTATGGATAATACTTCTTTCTGGAATCCTTTGCCTCGATCCTTTCTGCAGCCCGTGAGTTTGCTTCCACGGATGCGCACCGATTGAAAGTCAGCTCTTGTCACATGACCGGAGCCTTGTGAGTCATATGACTTTGCACATGGAGGCTTAGCCACCGTCAGTTGTATCAGTATCTCCTTGATCTGTGGGTTCACGGGTAGATCAACAAATGAGGAGGTCACTCAAAACCGTCAGCTGGAAGCTCTTACACAGGCCTGGTGGGGGCTTACTACTTCTTGAACTCGGCTGTGACGGCAAAGGCTTCCACATTGGTCAGCACGACATGCGCAGTTGGCATGATGATCAACATGCTCCAAAGCCTGGGGATCATTGGAACGATGACGGTGGGATGGCCAGTGAGCCTCAAAGGCATCTGGGGCTTCTTGCAGGCAGGCATAGCAGCATAGCAGCTTTGAAATTTCTCGTTGCGCTGCCTGAATGATCTGAGTGTTCATGAGTCTGCAGCCCTCTAGGACCCACCAGGATTCCGAAGGCTCCTCACTTGATTACCATAACATGAACATCATGGACATCGTCATGCGCCTCAAACCGTTCAAGTCTTTCAAATGTTTCAATGTCCCCAGTAGGTCTTTACCTTTGACATTGACGGCTTTGCATTTGCTTGCATTGCCGGTGGAAACCCAGTGGCACGCTACATTTTACTGGTGACTTGGTGTCGCTGTGGGCAGCACAAAGGTAACCCCCAAATGGGACAATCACTTACGTTTGCCTCTCATTGTTTGGCATCTCGTGAAAAAAACAGTGCATGAGTTGGCGATTGTCTGGGACGCCAAGCTTGTCAAGACACTTTCTCGGATATTCACTTGACTCACTACATTGCGTATATCAATTAGAATTTTAAGGCCCAATTTTGCTGACAATCTTGGCTCCCCTCCAGGCAAAGCTGGAATCAGTGTCGATCGACGATCAATTTCAAACCTCACGCCTTGATACGCCTTGCCAATGTTTAATTCCAAGGTCCTGTTCTTCCCAGCCGGGCTTCTTTGGTTGAGCCTCTGCGGCGTTGTTTCCAAAGTCAAAGCAAAATGGGCTTGGGACACGACCAAACTTCGAAGTACCATGGGCCAGTTCATGCAGGCGCGAGTGCTGAGGAAAGCCGCAGCCCCACATCAGACCGGACTCGGCATGCTAAAATCGAGGGAAGACCCTGTATTTCGCACACGTGTGGGCTGGCAGCGCGTCGCGAACAGCATGTTGTGCTACGTTTTGATCCGCACGGTTTCATGAAGCAGTCTCCAATGTCCAGACAGCGCGTAAAATCTAAAGCTTCGATGTAATTGCTTCTCCATGCGGCTCCTGACATGTGCGCTGAGACACCAATAAAACCAAAAACAATCCTGGGGCATGTTCTGCTGAGTCTACCAGAGAGGGCGCTCCCACAGTGATAGCACGAATCTTGTGAAGGAGTGAAAGAAAAAACCGTTTCCCTTTCTAGTCTCCGCTTGTGAAGTTTGCCACTAGACTAGAATCAAATTGTCGTTTGCTTTGACAACCGAATTTTCATTGTTTTAGCAACAGTTCGATGCAGTCCACTGAGTTTTGTCACGGGAAAAGAGGTCAAATTCATGCATGCGCGTGAAGCCCGGTCCTTTCGTGCGCTGCTGTCTGGCGCTACGTCTCTGATTAGCACGTTGATCGCGCGAGATGGTGGCGGAAGTTTGGAATAGGATAGGATGCCTATACAAAAGCAAGGGTTGCCGATAAATATGAGATGTCTATAGAAGGGATGTTTGACTACTAGAGGAGCCCTTGGTGGATGGGTCATTCATTCTCGATGGCTGATTCAATGTCCATGACTTTGCCTTTGTCCGCAAGTTCACAGGCCAAAAATCACGTGTCCATTGTGTTCATTCTATTTCATCACTCTTTCATGTTCTTCTTGCTTTTGATTGTCTTGCCTCCTCTTCTCTTCTCTTGTGTTACTCTGCAGGACCTTGCCTTCACTTTAACTTATCACTTATCCAAGCTTATTATCTTCCCTTCCCCCATCATCCTTATTCTTCAAGATTTTCTTTCAATGTCTTCTTCTGCCTGCTGTCACCTTCATCATCTTGTCTCGTTTCTTTTTTCCGGTGTATCAAGGAGCTTCCTGATCTTTATGATTACCCTTGGTGCGAACCGCTGGTGGTTTTACACTTTTGACCTGGAAATCTGCTTCGCGCAGCGCAATGTTGCACTTTTCCACCATTTTAACTTTGTGGAGTTTTACGCTTTTTGACTTGTACATGGGCTTCGTTCCACACGCTCGTGCATTCCGCCGGTCCGTACGCACCTCTCTCGAACACCTTACCCCTTTCCCCGCCACGAAGCCGTGCAAAAACAATGTTTTTCCTTAGATGATTTGTATCAATCTTTGTTTTAGTATGTTTTAGTACATATCAATACACTTGGAGTGAGCGTCATTGTTTTTGTGGAAATGTTGCATTTTCGGAGACTGCCAGAAGGCAGGATTCATCATTCATCAAACATATTGGAAGACATCTTGGGCTTACATATGTTTCACGAGGCATCATTGGGCGGGCTCCTCAAACAACGTCGCAAGTCGTGAGTCCTTTTTGCGCGCGTGGCTTTACATATCAATCTTTGAGTCCTAGTCTGCCGGCTTTGGCGCGGTAAATTTGCGATGTAATCTGCCTAAGGTGGTGATAGTTTCGAGTTTTGTCGGTTGATTGAATTTTATTGGTTTGGCATAGTTCGGCTGAATATCTTGGTCACGTCTTGTCCTGTTGGCTTTGTATGTGATGGTTTCGACTGTTTGGCAAGGTGGAGGGGAGTCTCCACACTGACACCTGGCGCCCACCAGTGATTGGGTTTCTGTTTGGCAGGTGTATTTCTCAACGATGAGCAGCACAGCATTGGTACCATATATTTGCTACGCACACCCCAACGGCTTCCGAAGTCACTTGCCCCATATCTTGGTGCGCACATTCTGAACTTTAGAGAAGCCAGCGGGAGCTTGGACGATTTCACCAAGTAAGTTTCAAGGTTGGACCTGTCAGCGTATTGCGCGTCAGTGCTCGGTTTCTGGGAGCTTTGGTAGGGTCACAAAGTTGGTAGTGAGGATACCGTCAGTTTATCAATCATACATATCATATGGCATAGTTATAGTGGAATATTTATTAGGTGAAGATGTAATATTTTGATATCTTGTATTTTAATATGTAGTATATAAGACATGTACACAGCAACCGTTCACCATCAGTTGAGATAATGAAATGCCACGAATCCCTACTGATACCGGTTGCGTCCCAACCATTCACAACTCTAGGCAACCTCAAGTACACAAATGTTTTTTGCGGAACTGACGAGCACACTGCTATGGTGATTGCTGGCTCACTTCTGCTTGCTTTCGGTGCCTTGACAACTAAGATGTCAGTGGATGTGGGAGAGGGAAGCCAAACAGCAGTAACGGTGGTGCACATGGTTGTCTTTTGGGACCAGACCCCTAACGTAGAATGAGAGGGAAAATAAACAACATCTTTAATTTTTTCCATCTCAGGATTCTCGAAACGCTGAGGCGTTTGTGGCTTCTGGGGCTTCGCAGCCTACCTCGCTCACATGTGTCCCAAGTGGTGTTCTGCTGGAAAGTTTCAAAGGGTGCAGAGCACCTTGGCGCTAAACCAGCCCTTATGGTAGAATAACAATACAATAGAAATCCAAGTTTGGTGCGAATGCTCTCTGAACATCACGCTGTGATTTTTGGAAGCTGTGGAGCGTGAACGATGTTCCCTGCCAAACATTTTTTTTCACAACACATGAGAGAGGCCAACTCCAGTGTCGTGATGAATCCTCAATGTTTCAAGGTGCCAGATTTCAAGTAGCCATTTTGGCTCAAGGTGGCAGATTTCTGTTGGGGCGTTTTAGACTCGTCCACGCAGTGGTAGAGCCATGTCAACGCTGTGGCTGCTGCTGATGCTGATTGCGCTTGAGCTGAAGTTGCGCTGGCGCTGGCGTGCCACAGATAAAATTGGATTCTTGCATGAAATTGGAGCCTTGGTAGAGTGCGATCGTGTTTCTCAACGCGGAGTGCTGTCCCAACAAACATTTGCCATTGAAATTAAGACACTTTCTCGTGTCGTTTGTGCTATCGGTACTGTCTTTGGGGTCATCGGTTTCTTGACCTGTGCTTGCTCCTTGGACGTCGGCTTCCTCTTTGTCTCCCTTGTCTTGGGAGGGGGATGGGTGGCCTGCTGGTTGGGTTGGAGGGGGGCGGCTGGGTCTGTGCGTCCCGGTCGGCACTCGGTTCATCGTGGTCTCATCCCTTGCCGCTTTGCTGGTCGTATGCGTCTGGCTGGGTGTCGGTTTGGCTGGTCGCGTCGTCTTCGATGTCGTGTCAAGGTTGCTGTAGGTCAAGGCTTTGCTGGGACCGAAGCTCAAACCCCTAAGAATGGCTCTTGTAGAGGAGGTGGGGGAAACAGTGAAGCGGATTTGCTTACGGGGCTGGTGGAGCTTCTTAGTAAATTCGGGAATCATGGAGAAAAAGGACCTGGGTTTACTGGCAAGGGTAAAGGGAAAGAAACCCCCAGTAACGCTAAAGGTAAGGGGCAGCATACTGGGAACCTCAAAGGGAAAGTTGGCTCCCCTGTTCAGCAAACTTTCTATAGTAAACCTACCAAAGGACACAATGGAAAGTCGCAAGGACAGATGCCTCACACTGCGGAAGGAGCACTGTTGGAAGCTTTGAAAAGACTTATTAACAGAGCCTCCCAGGACGAAGGCCAAGGCCTTTTTCAAAGACTCAACGGTCTGGTTACTGCGGCAGCCAGCGGAAAACCCTTGAGTTCTAAAAGAAAGAAACGACGGGGACAAAAATCTAAAGACCCCCAAAATTCCTTCCCCAGTACTATGAAACCCAAAGGTAAAGGTCTGGGAAAAGGGGTGGCTAAAGGATTCGAAAAGGGAAAATCCTCTGGCAAAGGGAAGGGTAAAAGTACCAATGACCAAAGTCACCAAATCAGAGTTCAGAAAGCCAAACATGGTCCAAAAATCTTTGAACCCGCACGGCTTCTGCCAAAAGGATGGCCGATAGGGGCCGCCATGAGTGTGGAAAAGCTTCGCGCAACTCTGGAGAAAGGGCAAACACCTCAGGGATGTGTTGCTTGGGCCACTCAGGAACAAATCCTCGAGCTCCAGACCTTGGCAAAAACGCACAACATTGCTAAGGCTTTTGCTTTGGTTTGTCTTGTCCAACCAGGCCAAGAGCAACCGCCGTACCCTGGGGGACTGCGGAGGCCACTGCCAGCGACAGACAGGAATGGACAGTTGGGACTAGGAAATTTCTGGGCCTTCCCACTTGCTAAAGAATTTCCGCAGCTGCCGGGTTGTGGCACCAGCTCAAAAAGTGAAAAAGTGGAAAGACTCCTGTGTACTCTCAGAGTGCAAGTCCCTAAGCGACTGCTTCAACCCAATGCATGGCAAAGTATGGTGGCGAACCCTGCTACCGTACTTCGTACCATCGTTGACCCTAGCACCTTCCATAGTACCTTTAAATGGAGTTCTGTCACCCACAAAACCAAGTTTGGGGGAGATGAAGAAGTGCTTGAAGGGTATATGAAAATTGATCAAGAAGGTTTGTTCAATGTCTTACGAAAATCTGGTTCTAAGGGAATGTTTTTTACCCAAGTTCTGAAAGAAAACCCCAATCCCCCGAAAGTTTCATGGGTCCCTAGGGTTGCGGAGGAAACCGACCATCAATATATGGCTAGGATTCAACAAATTGGTCATTCCAAACAAACCCCCCTTAAATTCCGAGTCGGTGGTGGGGCGTGTTTGGGATTAATAGGCGTTGACCCTGAAAACAAACCTACCCTTTGGCAGGTTGCTGGGGTCCCCACAAAATGGACTGGACAGGACTTGACTCGATGTCTTGAAGGGGCTGGGTTCACTGATACTACGGTCCTTCGCAGGCCTTTTCGGAATCATCCATGGATGGTAATTACTAAGGTGACAGCCGAATTTCAGAGCTCTTCCGTTTTTGGGGTTGAGTCCAACAATGTCTGTTTGACCATTTCCAAACCCCCGCCAAAAAATTCTGTTTTGGGAAGACGCAATGTCAGTTTTGGTAGGTGGCATGAAAAGAGGACCCATGTTGTTGCGTCGGCTCTGGGAGTCCCAGAAAATGACGCCCGGCGCGACAACAGGGAACAGACCCAGGATGAGCAACAGGCTCCAAAACGGCACAAAGCCGATAACTCTGCTCCGTACACTTTGGTGGACTGTGGGGGTGCTGGGAACTGTGGTTGGAACAGTGTTGCTGTTGGTTTAGGTATTAAAAAGGGATTGACTTATGAAGAAGCTTGTAAGGACATCGAAACCACAGTTCGCACCCTTAGGGCCGATGCTTGTTCTCATGTCATGCGACACTCCACTGATTATAAGCCCAGCTGGGCGCCAGACAGCGGAGAGACCGAAGTCACGGCGGCCAGGGCAGTTCCGGCAACCTTTGAAGAGTGGGCAGCATCCCTACTCAGGGACCGTCAATGGATGTGTGGCATGGCGCTTGAAGCTGCTGCGCGTAGATGTGGTGTCAAAATTGTCATTTTAGAAGAAACCAATGGGGAGATGCTTGAACCTCTGGTTTGTGGAACTGGCAAGAAACGTGAAGACCCTATCATTTTGTACCTCAAAGATGAGCATTTTCAATTGGTTCTTCGACAGGACGGAATTGAACTCCCAAGGGACTGGGTTCAGGCTAAATCTTCTGGGGAACCCATAAGGATTAACCTTAGAGGGGCTGGACGTCTTTGGTGTGACAAAACCCCTTCTAAGACTTCTACTAAGAAAAGCAGTAGACCGATGCGCCAAACCCGCAGGGCGTGGTCCTCTAAAACTCCCTCCAGGGCCTCCAGTACCGCTGATGGGTTTTCAACTGCTCCGACCTTTCGCCTTTGGAGGAAGACCAGTCTACAGGAGAGCGAGAAACCAAGAGGGGACAGCACTATGGCTCCTTCAACCGACCAAAATGCTACAGGAAGCGATTTTCAGTTTGGCACAGTTGCGACCTCAGGAGACCGGCCAAAATTCCCAAGCGGCAAACTTGGGGCCCTGCATGAAATCACTGAAGCGGAAAAGAAATCCCGACCGTGGTGGACTTGTCAGCTCTGTGGCCACGTGATATATATCAAACAATTTCAAGGGAGATATTCTGCGGCACATCTCAAGGCTAGGCAAAGGCACCTTTGCAAGATTCACGGATACAGCAAAGCCCCCCCTCTCCCCCGACATGGTATTCAGGATATGGCGATCAGAAATGAGGCTAGGCAAAGGCACAACCAAAACATTGGGTGGAAAGCCGTGTGGGAAGCTTATATGAGTAACAGATGGCCCGGTAGTCACCGTATTCTTGAAAAAGGCATTCGTACGGTTGCTAGATCTGGGTATGTGGTTTACAAACAAAAGTGTCAGGACTGTGGCGCGGTCATGTGTAGAGGTGATGTCCCCAAGCGTGACCCCTGTGTTAAAAATCCCACCTTCGCGGACGCCCCCTCTAGGCCCGAGCGTGTCAAACTTTGGCGTGGGTTTCAAAAATGCCGCCAGACCGCTATGCGAGACGCCCGCAAAGAGAGGTACAAATGCGCGATGAGCAAAAAAGAAAGCATGCAGTACGCGAACCGCATTAGGCTTGCTAGGAGCAAAGAAGCTAGTTTGTCTAAACTCGCGGATGGAGTCAAAGCCACTAGAAGAAACCACCGTGGTGAGGTCATAGGGGAAGCTTCGAACCCTGGTCCTGCGGTCCCTCCCTCTTCTCATGGTCGCGCTAGTGAAAAACCCAGCCTCAATTTGTGGAGCACAAACATTCGGTCATGGAATAAACATGGCGAGTCCCTTCTTGGCGAAGCTACTAAGGCAAACGTGCAAGTGGTGTGCTGTCAGGAAACCAACCTCCCTCAGGAGGATTTCGCTACTCAGATGTGGGTAGCCCGGCAACTTGGATGGAATGTCATTTTTATTCAGTCCTTTGGTAGCAACAACGGTGGCCTCGCAGTTGCAGTCAGAGAACCTCTTGCCGTGGTTATCCTTGCTGAAATTTCGAATGATTCGGGTCAAATGATTCAGGTTGAAGTTCACTCCTCTAGTGTTCCTTTTCGCTTGTTTAATGTGTATCAACGACCCGGCTGTTGGGATCCTTCCATCTCTCATCCTATGCTTGGGCTCGATAACACCCCCTGGGTTTGCTGCGGTGACTTCAATGCTGATGTTCGCAGCCTAGGTTTTGGGACCCTCGTTGGCACTGCTAGACACACTACCAGTAAGCATCCTATCGATGGGGTCTTTGCCTCCGAAATGTTCGCTCAAATGATTGGTGGGGAACAACAAAGTTTTGGCAATGACCACAGCATCGCCTGGGCCTCCTTCCAGGGAACGTGGGTCACACCACCTGGTGATTCCACCATTTGGATTTTTCGCCAAAATAGGCAAACTCAGAATGCAGGTCTGGAAAACGAATTTCAGGACAAAGAGAAGTTTTGGGTCAACAGTGTCTGCTCTCAGGAGGAATGGCACAATTGCCTCCAACAGGACAGCGAAGCGATTTGGGCACAATGGACTCAGGATTTTGAAAGCTTCTTGGTGGCACCCAGCAGGTCATCCCAGCCAAACGCTTTCCTCTCATAGGCGCTGTCCCCACTCTGGTGTCCGGTGGGCATCATGGGGCTCCGGGGCAGACTCACAGGGAAAGGGAATTACGACGTGGCATCAGGAGAGCACGTGAAGCTGCCTTTCTTTCCCGCAAAGGTGCGCCAGTCTCTAGGGGTCTTGTAAACAACATAGCTAAAAGTCTGGAACCTTGCAAACGTCACCTGGTTTTGAATAAGCAATGGACGCTTGTCGAGATGGAATTTTTGGGCAGACTGGATGAGGTTCTTAAACAGAAGACCAAAACAAAACAAGAAGCTTGGACGAACGAGATGTCCAACCTGTCCAAAGCCACGAAATGGATCAAACAAAGCTGTCCCCCTCAATTTTTGCTGAAAGGGGGGGTGGCTGGCAGGGTTGCGTGTCTTAAGGTGATTCACAATGTCTGGAAAGCGATTTTTGGGTGCGATACTGATGCAGACGCTGACCCCCAACATTTTTGCCGGATGTACAAAGATGACCTCCCCGAGGAGACTCAGGCTCAGACGCTCCCCAAACTAAATAAGTGGCAGGTGCGTAACATGGCTGCTACCATGGCCAACAAAGCCACGGGCCCTGACGGTATTTCGGCTCAACACCTCTTGACACTCCCAGATGATGGCTGGGAAAGGATCACTCAGATGCTTAATCGGTTTGAAACGCTGCAAACCTTTCCTTCTGCAGTGCAGCACTGGAAAGTTGTTTTCATACCTAAAGGCAATGCTCCTGAAGGGGTGAGTGCAGACCAGATGAGACCCATTAGTGTGGCGTCTATTCTGTACCGACTTTGGGCCCGCTGCCGGATCAAACAATGCAATGAGGTGGTCGAGAAACACCTGGCCCCGCTTCAAGCCACTACGCAGCTTGACCCTGAAGTCATTCACCTTGTCTTGCGGGGAGAATGTCCGGCCTCCTCCTTTCAGTATGGATTGGCTCTAGACTACAAAAAGGCTTTCGACAGCGTGAACACCGAGCTGGGCCTTCACCTCCTCAAACGGGTTGGTCTCCCTCAGAACGTGCTTGGTTTGCTCTCCAGCCAATGGAGGAATCAAACGCGCTGGTTAAGTTTCGCTGGTGCAATTCATGCTGAACCGTTGACCAAAGTCCCTAGTCTGCCGCAGGGAGACCCCTTTTCCCCGCTCACCTTGGCTCTTATTTTGTCCTGCCCAGCCAAAAGATGCATCAGGCTTTTCCCTATGGTGAAATGTGCGCTCTATCTGGACGACAGAACCTTGACTAGCGGCAACGTTGAGAAGTTAGTTGAAGCTGCAGCTGATTGGGATCGTTTGTCCCAAGTCACCAGACTCAGTACCAATCACCAGAAGTCCCAGCTCTGGGGCAGAACTGCAGCGGCTGCGAAATACCTGAGAGAACAGCACTTTGAATTTCCTGTCAAGAACGAAGTTGAAGTCTTGGGTTATTATTTGGGCGCCAACCCTGAGCAGCACCCCAAGAGGCTGGCCCGTGTCGAAAATGGAAAAACAGTGGCGCGAAAGATAGCCACGCTTCCCATTCCCCAAACCCTTAAAAGCCAGCTCGCCATGAGCCTGCTCACCAGCACTGCTGCCTGGGGACAGGACGTCACCAAAACTCAGCTCCTCCGAGCGGCGCAAGACCAGCACCTGCAAAACTTCAAGTTGGCTGTTTTTGGCATAAAGAATCCCTCTAGCAGTGATTCTCAAAGCAAAGCTCAGAACAGGTCTTCTCCTCACCTCAGGCAAATACTAGATTTGGGTCACGGCTCGGATCTGATATTTGTCGTGGTGACTAAGTACATGAGCGCGCTGGCGCGTTGGTACAAATATAGAGTCCCTGATAGCAGCCTCACTCGCAGTTTTCAACGCAATTCGGCAGATGTCTGGAGAGCTGTTCGAAAGCACCTCAACACTTGGGGATGGCAGGAACAGGACTGGGGACACTGGGCAGTGCCCAGGGAAGTGCACTTTCAGATCACCATGCCCAAAGAACAACGCGCGGTTTCTTTGCACCACCTCCGGCAAAGTTGGAGGAAGGCAAACTTACTTGCTTGGCTTGATTCGGATAGAAACGATGCGCGAGTCGCGCTTACTGTGGGACTTGACGAGAACATTCATGATGGTCTTATTGATACCTTACGTAAAGTTTACAAACAACTCAGTAACCCTCATGAGAAAGCGGTTGTCACTGGTGGAATGCATACTGCCGCCAGCACAAGGTGGGGAGGTACTCAAGAAATTGTGGATGAAGCGGGAAACATGTGCTGTCCCGACTGTGGTCAGGCGCAGCACCCGACCTTGGAACATGTGCTTTGGAACTGTGATAGATATGCTCATTTGAGGGTCCACAGCCCTCCATCCTGTCCGCTTGTTCGCAGACTTGGATGGAGCCATGAAACTACAGTTTCCCAATCTCTGTCCCTTCTCCGACAAATGGGGAAAATTCGAGAAGCTGAAGTCATCAATAGAATGCAAAGGGTCCGACTTCAGCACGCCCGTGTGATCCGAGGTGGTGGCACAGCCATCTTGTCTGGTCATACTAAGGAGCCGTCTGGTCATACTCAGGTCACTACCCGCATTGGCGCTGGCGAGTGGCATTGGCGCTGGCGCTTGCGCCTGCAGCGGCTGCGGACGCTGCTGCGGACTGCCGACACCTGGAGCAAATGCTGCTGCGTGCGGATGCAGACTTGCGCAGGCCGAGTGAGTAGGATCTTACTGTCCATCCGCGTTTCACACCTCTTGCATGTCTTTAGGCTGTTTCTTTTTTGGATGACTCCTGACAATGCTGTTGTTTTCCAGTCGAGCAAAGAAAATCGGCCCCAGAAGATGCCGGCAAGACCCCTTGAGGCTAAAATTGTTTTGGTGGAACAAAACTCTCGTCTCACACTTGGTAGCCCTAGCAACATTGTGAAGAAGAGCTTTGTGAGATGGGCCAGTCACTGTGTTGTTTTTGGTCCCCCGGTGGAAACTGAAAGGCCGACAAGAGCCCTTAAAAAGAAAGATGTCAAAAAAGTGCAACCTGTGTGGCTGCAAGTTGAACAGAAAAGAGAGCCTGTGTGGCTCCTGCCAACTTTTGTGAATTCGTTTTGGTTGAATTCGTTTCTGAATTCGTTTCCGAATTCGTTTTGGATGCTCTGCGCAATTTTGACGCTCCTCTTCTTGGTGCCTCTCAATTTTGGCCACCTATGTGGAGGCCCCCCAAGTCCAGCGGTGGCGACGGTGCTGTGCCATGGCTTCGGAGGTTAGTCCCTCCTCTCTTTGCCTCTATCCCGTGTTAGGATGGGGCAGTGACACATGCGCTTCCGGCTTGATGTTTGGTGGTATGGAGTGCCGTTGCTCCTTCGAGGAGGGGGAGTGTAAAGCTTCAGCAGGGTTCAGCCCTGAAACCATCAGCTTGCAGGACCGTTGCTGGCACACCGTGGTGGTGGCTCCTGACTATCCGGCCGTGCAATGTTTGGCCTGCCAGATTATTCTGATGACGTTCATGGCCGTGCAAATCTACAACTGGCCTTGGAAGGCGCCCATTCTGAACGTTGTGGATATGGTCGTTTGCTTCCTACTCGTCATCCTCGTAGCTGTGGCCGGCTTCTACGTCCCAGCAGTCACAGATGGTCTGAAGACTTTCTTCGAGGTCTTCAATATTGTGGCTTTGTGCGGCCTACTTGTGCTGGTTGCTCAGCTGCCCATAATTCTACCCGGGCCTCTTTCGAAATGCATGTTGATGTTTTTTGGTTTTACTGGTTTGTTGGAAAAATAAAGCACACATAGCGCTTTGCCAACTTCGTATCTTTTTTGGTTCGACCGCACTTTACTTTGTCGGAGAACCCTCAGTGCGTAGATGATAGAACTTTGACATTCTGCGGTTTGCGAGGTTGGAGTAATGATCCTAGCATCTGTGCTGGCACTCTTCTACCGCGCTGCTATCGGCAGCCAACAGGAGTTGAAGATCATGACCGTTGGGAAAACACCACCGCCGTCACAGGCAAGGTATGTGCGACTTCACTTGCCTACGAGCGGCAAGACATGTCTTTAATCGCACTAGCCGCATGGGTTTGTTGTTTGTTGATATATTTTCCATTATTTTCCTACGTCCTTGGTCAGGGCTGTTTTTTTTGGTTTTGCGTTCTGCCTCCTTCGGCTGAGCAATGACTCATCACAGCTGGCCCATTTACTCGACATGACCCAACTCGATCGACTGAATGCAGCTTAAATGTAACGGTGGCTGTGCGTTTCTTTGCCGTGCCGCTTGGTTTTTGATCCTCATTTTCCCCATTCCATTTTTCTCTCCCAACTCATCTGCTCAATCTCCGATGATCTCTTGCTCGCTCAAGTTGTGTCACCTTTGCCCAGCTCAGCCTCGACCCATACCGCCCATCATCGAAGGTGGCCTCCGTCTTGGTGCGCCAGATTGCAGCTCTGGTCAGCAAATCCGACGAGCAGATGGCTGCCAAGTTGGAGAAGCTTGGAGTTTACGACTTGCAGGCGCTGCAACTGGCCTCGTCTATCCTGCAAAACGAGGCCGGGTTCAGACGAATCGCGATTTGAGCCTCGAAAGTCGCGAAATTTTGAGAGACGAGACGTTGTTAGAGAGATTTTGCGGCTCGGGTGTTGAAGCTGTCCGCTCGTGTGGCCAGGTAGTGGATGCTACGGATGCTATTGAGCCCACCAGGTCCAGCAGGTCGACTTCTCGCATCACTTCCCAGGCGCTGGCACCGGCGCCGAAGAAAAAGGCAGAGCCTGAGCCCCCGAAGCCTGAGCTTGATAAGGATGATGAGGATATCAGGGACGGAAAGGACCAGAACAAGGTCAAGCAAGCTGCGGTGTGATTGTAGACGGCTGCGGGGTGGCTTGACGTTGTCTCAATAGTTTCGGCTCGTATTTGTACGGCAGGAACTTTGAAATTTCGGGAGCTGCAGGATGCGGAGTCTTTTGATCCTGCAGCACTGCAGCGCCTAGAAAGCAATTATTTAATTACTTTTTCCAAGTCAGCAGTGTTGATCGGGATGGTTCTGGTGGAGCTGCAACTGTACAGCAAGTGCGCAGCTACCACCAGCGCCAACAGTTCTTGACGTTGTCTCAATAGTTTCGGCTCGTATTTGTACGGCAGGAACTTTGAAATTTCGGGAGCTGCAGGATGCGGTGTCTTATAATCCTGCAGCACTGCAGCGCCTAGAGAACATTTTTTTTTCCAAGTCAGCAATGTTGATCAGGATGGTTCTGGCTTTCCCCTTTCAAGTGGAGCTGCAACTGCCACAGCAAGTGCGCAGTTGGGAAACAAATTCAGCGCTGCCAGCCATTGGGCTGAGCGCCGACTGACAGCAGGAAAAACCTCTTTAAGAGGGAAGAAAAACCTGCCAGTGATGACACTCTCCATAGGGAAAAGGAATCTGCGCACCCCGCCAGGCGTGCAGAGACGCCACAAGCAAACAGCACATGTGTGTCTGACTTCATATTAGGGACCACCAAGTGTACTGTCCGAAACTGGTGCCAGGCTTTTCTCCTCGTGAACTGGGACTTGCTCCAAGCCGCAAGCGCATCTCCCCAGCAAACTGCCTTGAGAACACTTGGAGAGGACGGAGGCTTTTGCTGAATCTGATCCTTTTCTTCTGTTTTTCATCCTTTTTGTATCATGGAACCAGGTTAATGTCTCAGTAATTTCATGAAAAGGAAGGAAACCATGGGAGTCATACCTTCAAAAGCCGCTTGATTGACAGCATGATTCCTCTGAGGCTTGGCTGATGAGTCGAGATCATTCCGCTGGATGTGCCGTTGTGGCACCTGATCAGGATTGGAGGTAGGACCTTTTTTTGGTGCCAAGCGACAAAACTATGGGCCAAAAGGTCCCTGCACAGGTTTACGTCTTTGTATATCTTTGTATCCTCGCAACACATTGGATGCTGTACAGCCCGCTTTCGCTCTTTAGCTAAAGACGCTTTCAGGTGAACGCTTTACGCTTCGAGGCCACGAGCGAGTTCGAAGCACGAAGTGTTCAGCTGCGTTCAGCTTGATCATTGGGGTAGAAATTGAAAATCATAAATTAAAATAGCATAAACAACATTATATAAAACAACATTGAAACAGCATTAAAGCAAGGTAACAGCATCTGTAAGAGGCCGTGTCGCTGATGACATCACACAGTGCCAGGACGATGAGAGAAGTGTCCAAAACTGTTGTAATTTATACATTTCCATACATTTTCATATTTCTGGAATTAATTTCTGGTGCGAATCCCTTGGAAGGGTCACTTCAAAAGTGGAAAATCTAGTGTTTTACAAGCACGAAACAGGAGTTTTGTTCGTCGAGGGTTTCGCCGAAAAGTTCCTTTTTTCCTTTCAAGCACAAAGTTGTCCGAGGTTGTTTAGGACATTGCCTTTGATGCTCTTGCGCCAGACTGCAGCTTACAAGTACTTCCAAATTTTTCTGAAGTCTTGTCTGCAGTCTTTATGTGTATTCAACTGCCGGGGAATCGTGTTTTTAACCAATCCCACTGTTTGTCTAAAGTCTGTGTTCCGGCCAAAGAAGAACTCTTTTTCGTGGGGGGGGCTTCCTCCCAAGTGCTTCACAAACTCACCGCGGTTGTGGGCAAAGTTTTGCCATTTGAGGCGTTTTTCTGGCACTTGTTGTTTGGAGGCTCTTTTCCAAGCCTTGCAACCATCAGCATAGCAAGCTGTTCTGGCTCGTAGCATGACGTATGTGTGGAAGCGCAAGAGAACGTGCAGCAGCGTAGCATGACATGACGTATGTGTGGAAGTGCAAGAGAACGTGCAGCAGCGTTGAATGACGCATGTGTGGAAGTGAAAGATATTGTGCAGCAGCGTAGCATGACCATTGATACCTAAAACAGCATTGAAACATTGTAAAACCAACGTTACAACAACATTAAAACCACATCAAAACAACGTTAAGCCAACATTAAAACAACATTAAAACAACATTAAAGCAACATTGAAACAGCATGAAAACAACCGTTCAACAACATTGAGACAGCATTAAAACAGCATTAAAACAACGTTAAAACAACAGTGAAACAACATTGAAACAGCATTAAAACAACATTAAAACAACATTGAAACAACATTGAAACAACATTAAAGCAACATTGAAACAGCATCAAAACAGCATTAAAACAACATTGAGACAACATTAAAACAACATTAAAACAACATTAATACATCATTAAAGCAACGTTAAAACAACATTAAAACAACATTGAAACAGCATTGGGGCAGCATTAAAACAACATTAAAGCAACATTGAAACAGCATCAAAACAGCATTAAAACAACATTGAAGCAGCATTAAAACAACGTTCAAACAACATTGAAACAGAATCAAAACAGCATTAAAACAACATTGAAACAGCATTAAAACAACAATAAGACAACATTAATACAGCATTAAGACAACAATAAGACAACATTAATACAGCATTAAAGCAGCATTAAAACAACATTAAGACAACATTGAAACAACATTAAACCAACATTAAAACAACATTGAAACATTATTAACCCAACGTTAAATCAACATTAAAACCACATCAACACAACGTTAAACCAACATTAAAACAACATTAGAGCAAAATTGAAACAGCATTAAAACAGCATTAAAACAACATTGAAGCAGCATTAAAACAACATTGAAACAACATTGAAGCAGAGTCAAAACAGCATTAAAACAACATTGAAACAGCATTAAAGCAACAATAAGACAACATTAATACAGCATTAAAGCAGCATTAAAACAACATTAAGACAACATTGAAACAACATTAAACCAACATTAAAACAACATTGAAACATTATTAACCCAACGTTAAAACAACATTAAAACCACATCAAAACAACGTTAAACCAACATTAAAACAAAATTAAAACAACATTGAAACAGCATTAACACAGCATTAAAACAACATTGAAACAATATTAACCAACATTAAGACAACCTTGAAACAACATTAAACAAACATTAAAACAAAATTAATACATCATTAAACCAACGTTAAAACAACATTAAAACCACATCAAAACAACGTTAAACCAACATTGAAACAACATTAAAAAAACATTGAAACAAGATTAAAACACCATTAAAACAACATTGAAACAGTAATCAACCAGTGTCAAAACAACATTTCAACAACATTGAAAACATCATTAAAACAACATTAGAACAACATTAAAACAACATTCAAACAACATCAAAACAACATTTCAACAACATTGAAAACATCATTATAGCAACATTAAAACAACATTAAACAACATTGAAACAACATTAAAACAACATTAAAACAACATTGAGGCATCATTATAACAACATTAAAACAACATTGAAACAACATTAAAACAACATTGAAACAGCATTAAAACAGCATTAAAACAACATTGAAACAATATAAATCAACATTAAGACAACCTTGAAACAACATTAAACCAACATTAAAACAAGATTAATACATCATTAAACCAACGTTAAAACAACATTAAAACCACATCAAAACAACGTTAAACCAACATTGAAACAACATTAAAAAAACATTAAAACAAGATTAAAACACCATTAAAACAACATTGAAACAGTAATCAACCAGTGTCAAAACAACATTTCAACAACATTGAAAACATCATTATAGCAACATTAAAACAACATTAAAACAACATTAAAACAACATTGAGACATCATTATAACAACATTAAAGCAACATTGAAACAACATTAAAACAACATTGAAACAAGTGTGTGCAAACTGTCTATTTGGGAGAGTCCGCGTGGGTTACGGTTGAGCCAGGCTGAGATTCAGAGAGAATCGCATCCCATCCCATCGCATCTAATATTGAATCCTTACGCCACTGCATAGTCTTCGTCCATTCCCCCTTGTGCCCTTAAGATTCTTTCGGGCCCACAGTTTGTTTTTTCGGCATGACTTTCACTGTGGCTGCTGCAATTGTGGTTCCTGCGACCCTTTTGCACCGAGCCATCTTCTGGAGGTAGAGGCATCTCAGACATGTCCGCAGACAGGGCCACCAAAGCATTGCCACTTGCAAATGCAGGACTGATCCGGATGGCTGCATGCATTGGTCATCGGGTTGCGTACGTTTGTGATGTATTGTGATGTGATGCATTGACTAGTGTCTTTTGTCACCATCTTTCCGACCATCAGATCTAACCCATGAAACATAGGGAAACCCCGTTTGCATAGTGTTGCGTAACGCTTCAGCCACCCATAGGGCAGCCTGAGCCAGCCTTCCTGTTCACGGTGCCTGTCGCCTGATCCCCAGGGGCATCTACTCAGACGTGTGTAGTTCGAACTTGGACGAGAAGTCCGAACATGTCCGACTCTTCAAACTTTTGCAAGTTTTGGAAGAGAACACCACCTTTTGTATACAATGTCAATTTGGTGTGGTAGATTTGTTTACGAACTGTTTGGGTGTCAGCAGTTTTAAGCAATTCAGCTTCAATTGTGTTGTGCATGGCCAATTTTCAAGGAAGACATGACACCGACTGCATCAAAGGCCAGAGCACAAATATTCCCGAGCAGACCTATGGAGGCAATGTCCAGATCTTTTGCATGTTGCCCAAGGCCAAGCACAAGAATGATGAAAGAGATGAAACAATACCTTTAACAACTACAGATAACTACAGGAAGACCATAAAATCAATAATCAATAAAGAACAATAGCTTGATACTGCAACTAAAGTGTTGAGGAGTGGAAATAACAAGTCAAAGCTGTTGGACAAATTTGCCGCCGATGTTGATAGGATTTCTCAGAACGAAAGGTTGGCACCATTTGTTTTCTTTGATTCCATGTCCGTGGGTGTCTTCCCCGCTGGAATGAAAGAACAAATGGTGGAAAGAAATCATTTCGAGGGGTAGCTTGACCATCCTGAAATTGAGAAATGTCCACTTAAGGCCCATGAGGCCAGATTCCACAAAGCTTCATGCAAAGAAACGTAACGCAGTAAGCCATCCTCCCCGTTTGAACAAGAGGATACAAGAGGTATAGACTCCAAGGAGTCAAAGACAAACAATCCGTTTTCAAGAGGCATTCGGCAGAAAAGATCGTGCTTTAAAATGAAACGTGCAGAAATTGGGAAGTCAGCAAAAGGCAATAGACTGACAGTGAGACTTCTAGACAACTCCTTCGAACAAGAAAAAAACAACGGTCTCAGAATCAAACTCCAAATGCTTTTCAGACAAAAACTTCGCGAGGAAAAACAAACAGACTAATGATGTTTCTTCAGAATCAAACTTCAAACGCTTTTCAGACAAATCCTCCGCGAAGAAAAACAAACAGACTAATGTCTCTTCAAACCGTTTTAAGACAACGCCTTCGCACAGGAAAAACAACAGGTCTCAGAATCAAACTTCAAACGCTTTTCAGACAAATCCTCCGCGAAGAAAAACAAACAGACTAATGATGTTTCTTCAAACCGTTTTAAGACGTCTCCTTCGAACAGGAAAAAAACAACAGGTCTCAGAATCAAACTTCAAACGCTTTTCAGACAAATCCTCCGCGAAGAAAAACAAACAGACTAATGTCTCTTCAAACCGTTTTAAGACAACGCCTTCGCACAGGAAAAAAACAACAGGTCTCAGAATCAAACTTCAAACGCTTTTCAGACAAATCCTCCGCGAAGAAAAACAAACAGACTAATGTCTCTTCAAACCGTTTTAAGACAACGCCTTCGCACAGGAAAAACAACAGGTCTCAGAATCAAACTTCAAACGCTTTTCAGACAAATCCTCCGCGAAGAAAAACAAACAGACTAATAATGTTTCTTCAAACCGTTTTAAGACAACGCCTTCGCACAGGGGAAAAAATCGCTTCTTGTCACTTCTCGTCACTTCTCGGCACTTCTCGGCACTTCTCGTCACTTCTCGGCACTTCTCGTCACTTCTCGGCACTTCTCGGCACTTCTCGGCACTTCTCGGCACTTCTCGGCACTTCTCGTCACTTCTCGGCACTTCTCGGCACTTCTCGGCACTTCTCGTCACTTCTCGGCACTTCTCGGCACTTCTTGTCACTGTTTGTCACTGTTTGTCACTTTTTTTCACTTCGAGGCTTGGCTGAACGTTGGAATTTGGATCTTCGTAGCCATGTGTAGCCTTGATCAGCCGTTTGCAGTGGCCGCTTCGTTCCTTATGGGGGAAATCCAGTGAAACATGTGTCATGTGATTTGGCGGTTCAGGTGATGCCGCCAGCGAATAAACACGCGCTACACGTCACAATGATGTTAATGTGAGTGCTTTCCCTCGCGGTTGCGAAACCTGAATCTGGCAAGGCTGACGAGACAGCGAGACCAATCTCCTGGAGGACGCACTTGTCACATGTCACAAACCGGGACCGATGCAGATGTCTTCATCGTGTTTGCAATGTGTTTCCAATGTGTTTCCAATGCATATTCTGTGTCGTCATGGTGAAGGCCTCCGTTTATTTACCAACAAAACTGGCAGAGGCCCTGGACATCAGCAGGGTTTCACTGCATGCCGATTAGAATCTGAATCAACTCTTTTCGGGTAAATCCACATTCGGCACAAACAGAACGTGGAACTCCTGTCTCTGAACTTGCTCGAGGTGTTACTAATTTCACGGACTTGGCGTGTTCTTTCATGTTTTTTCTTGAGTGGTTCTGATTATTGGCTCTACTGGGTCCCAGGGTTAAGTCGTTGCATTGCAGTTTTGTCGTAGCGGACCAGCGTGTGCCTTGCAGAACTGCATGTTCTAAAGCTTTATTTCGTGATAATATATGTTGAACAGATTCTGATATTTTGGTCTTGGGTAAGTGTGTGCGTTTGCGGTCCGTTTCTTCCGTATTGTTTGGTCATGCATTTTGGAAAGTTTTAGTTGGTGCTAGATTGCTGCTGGACTGCTGCTGGGCTGCTGAGCGAGTGCTACTAAGCTGTTCTCAGAAACAGTTTGTTACATTTTGTTACTGGATCGAAACTGCTGACAGATTGCTGGTAGATTTTCATCATGCTGCTGCAACATTGCTGCTGGCCTGCTCCTAGATAGACTGTTGCTGGGCTGGTGCTAAGCTGCCGCTGAGCTGCTGCTAAATGTTTGCTGGGTGTCACAATGTGCAGCGTGCAAACTGCTGCTTGGCTGCTGCCCCACTGCTTGGGAGCTGGCGTTGCCAAAGCTACTTTCTGACCTCTCTGACCTCGTTTTGACCTCGTTTTGACCTCGTTGTACAGTTGCTACATGTTGTAGCCCCTTTTACTGACCGAGTCGCTGTGATCAGGAAAAAGTAGCAGCGCTTGAGGGTTTTCGGGGTCACTGTGCCCGTTGCGCTGTTTGTTGTTTGGTTGGTCGCTGGGTCATGTCTTGCTTGCTGTTTGAGTGTGTAGTTTGCTTGTTGATTTGCCCGTTCATGTTTGGGTCGGCTGCCTGAATAGCTGGTCGTTTCTCGGCTGGGGTGGCGTTGTCGTTGGGTCAACTGGTGTAGCCGCAAAAGCCTTTCAGCATGGTCGAACCAGCGTCAGTGTCTCTGTCATGTTGTGCAGAGCGCTCCCATGCGCCTTCTCGGCCCACGTATACACCGTTTCTCGAAGGTTCCACTCGGTGTGAGACAACGCTCGCGTGCTGTGTGCCTGTGGCAGGCATGGGTGTGCTGTTTCATTTGGCCTTGATATTCCCGTTGCTGTGGCCAGCCATCGCGGCGTATGACAATGGCCTCCCTAATGGCACATGTTTTGACACTGCCATCCCTGAAAACCTCCGCAAGAACCTGACCACTCCTCAGGGAGAGTCGGTGCCGATTACTTTCCTGTTGGCAGGATGGAGTTCCGCCCAAGTCACCAGCTCCGTGATTGAAATCCTATTGACAGAGGTCATGGGGTACAACATTGCTATTGGCAATCGACCACCAGCTTCAAGTGTGGATTCCATCTACTGCATGCTGGGTTGTGCAACCTGGTGGAATAACACTAATCGTGGATGTGAAACCAGGAAGATCATTCATCATGTGATGGTTGAAAGCTGGTATCTTGGCTTTCCCCATGTCTTGGACTTGTTGGCTGAGATGTACCAGGCAGGGAACCCAATGTTGAACATTGAACAGTTGACATAATAGGGTGATCAAACATGGAAATGGCAATTTTAGAAAAAATAAATTTGAATTCATCGATTTGCGGTGGAATTTCTATTGCCATGCCTGATTTCCGGAGGGTATATACTGGAATGGCTCAATGACCATCAAGCTCAGGAACGAACGAACCCAAACATCCAGGCAATGGCCGCTAGATGGTAAATCAGAGATTTGCCATGCGCCTCAACCACGCTCACCCCTGAAAGGACGAGATGCCGTTCAGCGCAGGTGACATGGGATATCCGGGTACCGCTGGTGGATATCTTCCAGCGGCCCCCTTGACCCAAGCACTAAATACCACAGGCGTTCCGTTTGAGTACTACAAGAACTGGGATGCAGCTTGGTTCACGCCCTCGGACTACTTCGTGAATCTGACGGCTGTTACTTGCCACCAATACAACGTGCCAATGTGTTGAACATTATCATGTATATATATATAATTATATATATATGCACGGCAGCTGCACTTGCACAAGCAATCGTAGATGGAAGCCAGTGAAGGATTGACAAAAGGTATGGCAATGCGATACGGCGGAATCTTTCCTTTTTCCACTGGCGGTTCGTTCCAAATTGCTGGTAACACCGATGCCACATGTTGATCGTGGAGAGGTGACAAGTGGTCACACTTTCATGCCACCTGTTGGAGGAAATGCTCATCATGGACAACAACAAAACAAGAACAACCACCCAGCAACAACGAACGAGAAAAAGGGGGAAAAGACATCGTCATCCATCAACGATCAAAACAAACCACATCCAAACCCAAAATATTTACCCTGGTCCTTCACAGAGGTGACCTCTACTGACTGCAGAGTGTGGTGAGGTACGGTTGTTTTCTGCATCTTCAAGAGGCTGTTGACCCTTCTCCTTTCGTTCTCGTGCTGAGGACATAGTGGGATCTTCCACTATCTTCCAGTGTTGACCCATATTGTAGTACAAGAGCAATTGCCTTAGTTCACGTGCCTTAGTCAGTCCATTTGCAAGTTGCGCGTCAGAGTGAACCCATCGGGCTAAGACCTGGTTGACAGTTTGGGATTCTTTCAATCTCATGAGTGTCACATCAACCCTCTTCTCCGCACCTTTTGCTACTACAACCTCAGTCGCAAGTTTGTCATAAACATTTCAGCTATCTGTTACAAGACATCCTACAATCTTATTTACAGTTGAGTTGGGTTCTCTGATATTTACCTGATGACCCAACATTTCAGCAAGCTGGAAACGACTGAAAAACAATATATCTTCAGCATTGGTGGCCGCTATGGCCTCGCTGGAGCCTGGGCTCGTGCAAACACGTCCCATCTTTGAGGAATGCCAAGCAATCGCGGAAACTGGGCTACAACGTCCTTCTAAAATTTCCTTGGACGTAGCTCCCATGAAAATTCCTTGAGTACTGCCACCATCGTGGCGGTTGATTGAAGCTGCGTCTGCCCATGCCACCAGTATCAGTTCTGAGATGGGAATGCGGTGAATGACCAGTGATGTGTCTTTCATGTTTTTCACCTGGTCCAAAAGCTGATTTGCACGCAGTAAGGTTTCTACTGTGCTAGTGTTGATTTCTGATAACATCAAACTCACATCAGCGGAAATATGTGGTGCCACCTGTTGCGCATGCCAGCTAATGCCTCCCAGTAATGCTCTCAGTTGCGTCTTTTCAAAAGAATCAGTAGATGCATGTTTGTCTCTACGCCGTGAGGCTCGGATATTGATATGCTGAAGTTCTTCTGCATACTTCTCCTGGGATAATGTGTAGGTACCATCATCATGCTGTGGTACCAAAACACCACATTGCACAAACTTTCCAGATTCCGATTCTCCCCATTTGTATTGTTCCTGTATTTTCTGTAAGGTTGACTGCCAGAGTGGATCATCATCAGCTTCTGAAAACAGGAAATCCCGTGTCCAGTGATGATTCCACGTAATTGACCCTCGTGGACCAGAGTCCAACAACAAGGATCGGACCAACACTTCTTCAAACCCAGTGAGGTGAAATAGCTGCTGATAGATCTGTACCATTCCAATGGCGCATCTACCAGGCCATAGCATGCCTTCTTGACCTTTGTCACTGAACCGGGAGCCAGGCCCATGGCTTGGCAAATCTCATCGCAGGGCACGCAGAGTAACTCCTCAGGATACTCCCTGGATTGCAGGAAAGCACCTGTAACGTCACCTTTCTTGGTGCGAAAACCTTTGCCCGCACTGATTTGCAGTTGTAATTGCCTTGACAAACGAGTCGTTGTTGGTGAGTGTGTTGCCCTGTTTTCATATTCTGGATCCATATAGCCCTGAAGTACTGCTCTATCTTTCTTGCTATACCATCAGGTTTCACTTTCCAGGTCAAGATCCATCTCATGTTGATCACATCCTCCCGAGAAAACTTGTGTTCAGGAGCCAGTGCTTCGAAAGCCCTTGCAGAAATAAAATTGTTTACCTCAATCGCTTTTGCTTGATCAAATTGTTTCTTTTCCTCTGGAGTGAGCCTTCGTTCTGAAATCTCCACAGCACGTCGCTTCATAGCAGTTGTGAAGTATGCTTGTAGATCCTTGAAGGCTCTCTCAGAACTGCTTCGCGTTTGAGGCATATCAATCTCTACCGAAAAGACAGAGTTCCGAAATTCCTGTTGTTGACCTTGGTGGATGAAAAACGCCTCATCGACTTTTCCAGACCAGTGTGGGGCTTTCACAAAGCCGTGGCTCATAGGCTCTGTGTTGTCGTGGCCACGGCTGCGGCTCCGAGATCGTCGCTCCCTTGGTCCTTGAACCTCTGGAAGTGGACTACCTGACGCTGGCATCAGATCGTCACTTCCTTTGGCAGGAACCTCCGGAATTGGAGCTCCACTTTTTTTGTTCAGCCGTACAGTGGGTTGCCACTCTGATGCTGGGTCCCTTGCTCGCTTCCACTCCCCTATTGTGGGGACTTCAGTGATGTCTTCATATTCGTTGCCACCCAGCTCTTGTGCCACTTTAGGAAAATCCCATTGTAGTACTTGATGTTGATCATGTAGTTCAGTCAGTATCTTTTCTCTCACTGAGGCATGCCTCAGTTGTTCTGGGCAACATTTGAGGAGGCGGCGTCCCCGAACTAGCCACACTGAACTGCCAGGAGAGTCCCGCTTCTGTTCTGTCGCTAGGATCCTTGCTGGTCCTACAAAGCGCCCTTGTCCAATCTTGTTTTGTTGAGCGTCCACCCATGTCAGTTGTTTTCTCCAAATATAAACCATGTCCCCTGCAGAAAAATCAAGGACTCTGTGATACTTTGAGGATGCTGCGCGTGACAACCGCTCTTTGGCCTGCCAACTCCAAAAAGGATTTCTCTGCCACCAATCTACGGTGGTGGTTTTGTGCCATGTCCTGGCGATCAGAATCTAAAATAGGTTCCAATGCATCATGGTTCAGAGGAGTGAAAAACCTTCCTGCTTCATCTGGAGCTCTACCTAGGACATGTTGAAACGGTGAGAATCCGCGGGCTGTGTCGCGGTGATTCAGTGCCCGAAAGGCCTCTGACAAAGCATCCTGTGCAGAAATGCCATTTTCTTCTTCAGCCATACATTCCATGACATGTTTAACCGACTGAACAGTTCTTTCACAAACCCCAATTTTCCAATGAGCTTCAGAGGGGATAATACCCAAAAAGATATGATGTTTGTCACAAAACTCTTCCAATTCTTTGCTACGGAAACTGCCATCGGGGTCCAACGTCAAAGTTGGGGGTACCCAAAATACTGAACCGATGATTCCCTGAAAGTTAGGAGGAATTGAGCCGCTGAGACATGTTGTTTCTTCCCTTGGGCCACCATTTTTCCAACTTTAAACCTGGAACCCTCATCAACCATAACCACAAACTGCCATTTTTCCTGGGTATAGGGGTGAATCCAATGACCGATGTCAGCACTCACCGTGGCAAATCTTTGGGGCAAAGGTTCCAAAGAGGAAACATTACGTGGTTGGGGCCGTTTACGTTCCTCACAAATTGGGCATTTGAAATTCTCAGCCGCTTTAATGATGGATTCAGCCATTCCCCTCCTACGCAAGGTTTGAACCAGATGTTTCACTTGACCATGCCCAGTTGCAGAGTGGAGAAGATACAACCGTCTTTGCACCTCTTCGGGGGTCATTTTGGTGGTCAAAACCCCTTCCCGCTTATCAGCAACCATCACCCCAGAAACAAGGTTTTTATCCCGGGTACAATGCCCGCAAGTTAACCCCGCGTCATGATACTTCCCTTCTCCACAAACACACAAGGTTCCCTTACCAAACTCATCCCCAAAATGACCCGAACCATTCAGTTCCCCAGGAAGCATTTTTGGGTCTCCCTTTTGAAGGATGGCTTCACAAACCCTGCGAGCGAAAGCACGTGTGTAGAAAGCCGTTTTCTTGGTGATAGAACCCTGACATGGAACATGAGTGACCCCTGGACCACACCTACAAGGCAACTCCATGCGTTGTGACATGAGTGCATGAGTAGTCATCAACTTCCAACCTTTTTATGGGATCCCCCTTTTCAGTTTTCACACCTACCTGACAACCCCTTACTTTGGCAAAATGCACACCATCCAAAACTGCAAGTTTCTGAAGGAGAGGGAGAGGCCAGGCCTGGCAAGTTTGTGAGAGTTCCCATGTGGTGTGAATACCCCTTTGGTAACAGTACCTGAATATGACTGAGCATGCCGTGTACTGCTTGAGGGCATCCCTCCTTTTTTCAGCCAGAGCTTCACACTGCTCCGGAGTTCTTTGATTCACATTCTGCATTATACTGTAGGGGCCACAGTCTGGAGACAGCCAGACATGTTCAGGTCTAAGAACATCGATCTTATCGAAAACAGCTTTCAACCCCGAGTTGGTGGTCAAATCATACCCATTCCAGATAGACAACCGATGGGCGGAACCTGAATGACCCGACAGTTCATGCATCATTGTGGTCAGAATGCTATCTGTGCTGCAGTAATATGGTACCCTCAGGTGCTCGCAACTCATGAACCGTATCAGCTAAGAGGTCCCGGCTGATTCTAGCAAGACACCTGTGAGCTAGGCTTCCGGCCTAAGGCTGGAACTAGGCTAGGGTCAGCGCTCTCAGACCACGAGGCACCATCATCAACCACAGAAGACGGTGAAGAGGGTGTAGGGCTCACATCACGTCGAAGCTCCCGGTGTCGCTGGCAGGCTTCTTGCGAGGCTTGCCCTCCTTGAGCTCTTAGGCTTCCTCCTTGGGATCTTTGACCACAGTCACCAAGCTGGCCATCAACGCTCTGGTAGAGGAGCTCTCGCTGAATGTCTCTGAGATCACTGAAGGTGCGGCCATGGCTTTGGCCTTCGGCTTGATCGACGACTGTCGAAGATAGCCCATCTGGATCAGCTCCTCCTTGGTGATGGGGTAAGGTGTCAATGGCTCCTTGGTCGAAGTGGCTTGGCCCTGCTTGAGCTGTCTGCACCACCCACTTGCAGTACTCCGGCTGTGTTTGCTGCAGCTCCTGGTAGTGGAGAGCTGTATGCGTTCCAAAGCCCACTGGATCCATCGCACTGGGAGGTGCCATGTGGTAGATGGCCATGATGCCCTTCTTCTTGAGCAGGGCAATCGTGTCGTTGGTGCTGATGGGCACCTTGAGCTCGTCCCGCACGAAGTTGACCAAGTCTTGCTTCTTGTTGCTGGCTGCATTGAGACGGATCATCATCTGTCTCAAGGGAGTCTTTTCCTTGGCCCTTGGGTTTGGGTTCAACCCTTTGGCCACCCTCAGTTCTTCCATCCGCAGCTTCATCTCGGCGTTGCTCCACGACTGCGGTGGGAGCTCTCCAAGGCTGATCAGCTCGTCCAGGATCTCCTCGCGGGTCATGGCTGACATAGTGAGGGGCTGGTGGATCAGCAGGTGTGCGAGCTCGAACTTGAGAAGTGGCTCTGTCATTCTGCTTCTCAGCTTCTGGAGTCAGACCACTTGTTTCAGAACCAGGTGGAGTGTTATTTTTGGGGTTATTAACAGCAGACATTGAACCACATCACCAACAACATCCACATCTTCATCGCATCCATCGTTTCCTTTAACAACCAAAGTTTCATGTGATGAGATTTCCGACAGCTGTGCACTACCCGTCCTACTACTGACCTTTCTTTCACCTACGGGCAAAGATGAAGAAAGGAGTTGTCCCTAGATATAGTCCTTCAGACTGGGCACTGGCGATTGAGCCAGCTTGGACTGGGTGAACCAATCATCAGACAATGGCAACAGCTGATGTCCTGTACAAGACCTCTCCAACTCAACGATCCTCTTGGGATCCAGCTCACGAAAAACAATCAAGTCTTCTTTGAAATCTACGATTGCGTCGAGGGATCTGAGTGTCTCAATGGAGAACAAAATAGGACTAGAACCACGATCCAGAGTGTGAACTTTCAACTCACCACCCCGACCCGGCTTCCACATGCATCCATGCCATTGACAAACAGCGATCGGAACTGGAGTTCCCGAAGCCGAAAACTGGACGCTGCTCACTATCTACATGTCGGAGACCTGTGTCCTCGGCGGTGCTGATTCAATTCCATCAAACGTTCTACAGCCGCTACTGACCCTAGGGTGCGTGTTGCACCGCCATCTAAAGATGGCCTTGCCCTGCAACATGGCCTGCTCAGAGGTGACCCCTTCTCGCACGACATTGCCTGTGGCCTGGGCCTCAGAGAAACAGACAAAAGGTGCTTCTTCTCGAGGTTCAGCCGATGAGGCATTGTCCTGGGTGCGCTGAGGGCATTGTGCCACCTTATGGCCCACCACGCCACGCCACCTGTGGAGGTAGAGGAACCACCTGGAGGGCGAGTGCTCCGGTAGTCAGTTCTGTAGAACTGGCGACTCATCTTCACTTGATGCTGCTTGGCCCTGGCTTCTTTGAGTGTTTTTCTACCACGCTCCATCAAAGCCAGGGCTCCTTGAACTTCTTCCTCTGCCGACTCGATCATCATCAGGCCCTCATCGTTTCATGCCTGACTGTGCCAGGCCATTCAAGTCTGGCTCATAGATGTCTTGCAGAGAGTCTTCTCCTGGAACATCTTCAGCAGCCCATGCGCTGCCGCGAGTGCCCTGGTCTCTGTGGCGTAGATTGTGATCCGGCCATTGGTTGCGCAGCTCCTGGGCCACGCGCTCCACCGAGAAGTCATTCTTCAAGGCGGTCATCACCATGTTTCTCTCATGGGCCTCCAACCCAGCGTCCTGTAGCAGAAACCAGCCCTGGACAAAGGAGGGAAGCAAATCCACTGATTCTTCGATCCATGTGTTGACCGGGGTCACTGCGGCACTTCCATTGTTTCTATCATTGTTGGACCAACGGCCCCAGTCCCATCCACGGTGTGACCAATCCCCTGATTGCCACCATGACCAGGATCCATGCCATTGATCATCTTCTTCTTCCTGTTCTTCTGGTTCATCAGCATCGTAGTAAGCTGCATCATCAGGTTCAGCTTCTTCAGCACCTGCATGACTGGCGGTGCTGCCGGCTGCCGGCTCGACCACACTGCCTTGACTTCGAGAGGCTGTAGTGGGAGCGTAGCGACGCTGAACACGGTCCAGAGTCTGGCAAGCCCTAGCATACACTTCAGCTTTCCTGGTGGTATACTCATTCATCCCCTCATGGCGAAGCCTTCTGTTCTGCTTGAAGTACTTGGACATGTACTCGGACATCTCAGTCAACTGTGGCTGACCTAGGTGTCGTCAGAGATGTGTGATGAGGCGTGAAACTCCTCCATCATGAGATATCCAGCCAGGCTTCATTGCTAGACGAACCTCCTTGCCGTTCCGGTGAGTTCAGCTTGGAGTCTGGGCCCGCACAGATACCTTTTGTGCTTGGCCACAGATTGTTCCCAGTGACTTGCCATTTCAGCATACTCCTGAAACGTCGCTGCATTCCCGTCCCAGCATGGTACACCATCTTTGGACCTTAGGATCTGTTGGAATCCTTTCTCATTTGCTGCCATGTGTTCTCCAGCGGCCTCGCAGCCAGAGATTGTCTAGGAGCCCTGGATCTCAAGCCTCACGCTGAGGCTCCGCTACCATGCACGGCAGCTGCACTTGCACAAGCAATCGTAGATGGAAGCCAGTGAAGGATTGACAAAAGGTATGGCAATGCGATACGGCGGAATCTTTCCTTTTTCCACTGGCGGTTGCCAAATTGCTGGTAACACCGATGCCACATGTTGATCGTGGAGAGGTGACAAGTGGTCACACTTTCATATATAAATATGACCACAAGTTTGGAACAGAGTGCACATGTTGGAGCTCAAGGCTGTTCATGCTCGAGCTATCCTCAGCTGCTGGTCTGGTGGTGCAGGGTTTGCGTAGTAACCTGTTTGGACTCGCGCGCCCCTTTTACTGCTCCAGCCCATGCTTTGGATCTCTCGCTGCCTGCTTTCTGCTTGGACTTTTGTGCGGCGTTGGTTGCTGTGCTTGGCTTCTGTTCCGGTTTGATTGCCTCTGTGGACTTGCCTCCACATCCACCCTTCGCCTTGTCCTGCCCGGTCAAGCCCCTCCTCCTCTGTGAGGGCACGTTCACATCTGTTGGAGTATCAGTATGAGCTGCCACGGCGACGTCATTGAGGCTTCAGTGGACTTTCCTGGACTTCGAGTCACCGTTTCTGGCACTCCTGCTAAAGTTGCGGATTTTCTGCGTTTTGCTGCCTCTTACCCTGTTGATCGTGCCAGGTCTCCTGCTCCGTCGGTGGGCTCCTTTGAGTTGTTGTCTGAGGTTCCAGAAGCTTCAGCTGCCCCTCCCCGGACTGGACTTGAAACCCGGGATCAGATCTCAGCCTCGTTCCTTGCTTGCCCGGCTCATCACTTGGCCCTTGGGATTCGCCTCTCTGGTGCTTCTCTCTCTGGCCGTGATCGTGTTGCACGTGCTTGGACTGCTGGCTTGTGGGCTAAGGCTGTTCTTGAGGGTCGTGTCTTCACCCCCAACCGGACTCCTCCCTTGGACTTGCGGTCGCATTTCTACGCGTGGACTGTCCTGTCATCTATCGGTCCTCGGCCTCCTAATGGCGTGCCATCGGGTCCTTGGAAACCAGTGGGTCCCCACTCCCCCACCCCCCCACACACCCCCCACCACATCCACAGGGGGGGAGGGATACATAGACATATGCGTATACACATACATATACATACATACACATACTACATACGTATACACATACATGTATATATATATATAATCTCGGGGGGAGAGGGGGGACCACCAAACGCTGGGTATATATATATACACATACATGTAGCATCTATTTATTTATTTGTTTGTTTGTTTGTTTACTTATTTATTCATTCATTTTTTTAAATGTGTTTTTTTTCCTGGGCTACTCATGCCCTATTGCCCCGTGGGTCATGGCAAACCGTTTTGCGCTCGCAGCGAGGTTGACACAGCAGACTTCATGAAATGCAGCGAAACCACGATGCACGACAACGTCACCGCATATACCTTCTTCAAAATCAGCGGTGATACTGACGGTGTCGTCATCACTGAGGAAAATGGAGTGAAGACGTACAAACTTCTTTGCCAGGACCAGGGCCCAAATGGTGATAGAAACCGTGGGTTTCAAAGAAATGGTAAAAACATGAAGATGTGTTGCATATCATGAAAACATTTTTCGATGCAACATATGCAGCCTCATTTTGAAGTCCAGTGTTGCCGCTTGACCAAAGCCGCTGCCAGGACGAGTACTTTTGGCGCCCCAGCAGCTGCAGAAGTGACCCAAGCAAATGCGTCGTGTTTGTGACTGGCGGGGATGGTTGGGACATTCCGCATGCACCGCAGAGGGCAGCAGCATATAACATGCCATTCGCCATTGGGGTGGCTGCTTCATGGAGCAAGTACTTGGAAGTGCCTGGGAAGTACAAGTCGATGTACTTCTACTGGTGGACCCCAGATGATTCCTTCATTGAAATGCAGCCCACCAAGCTGATCTTGCCAACTTACGATGCCTATGCTTGGACCCTGAGCGATTACACCACCGCTGCGGCAGATATAAAAACTGCAAAGATCGTACCAAAAGATTTGACTATAATGGCTCCTGATGTGGTGAAGCTCCTGGCCGCCAGCTTGTTTGATAGCGCGGCAGTGGACAGCATGATGCTCAACATGAAAACCAACTCACTGACCCGGGAACAAGCTGCTTGTGCCTGGTTGAAAGGCAACGATGTTCGGTGGAACATGTGGATTCCAGATTCCACCAAGTGCGACCCTGGCTTTGGGCTTTACGATGACGCCACGGAGGTCTTCACTGCCCAGCGAACCACAGCCACGACTTGCAGGGCTTGCCTTCCAGGGATGCTTTCCAAGGAGCAAGCTTCATGCGCACATAGCCCCATGTTTCTACATGTTCCCTTTCACACCGTGCCAAACTTTTGCGGTCTAGACTATAACATGTCACTCCATGTCACTGGTCACTCCATAGCAGGTCTAGACACAAATGGTGTTCAAATGTCGAGGCCTATTCCGATGATTCCGGCCCCACCTACGTTTGCGAAGCTTGTCCTGCGGGCCAGCAACAGCTGGGAGCCGGCGAAATGGCTTGTGATCCTTGTCCTTTGGGCACGTCCAAGTTAAACCAGTCCCCAGAGGAGTGCGCGCTCTGTCCGGCAGGCGGTCAAGAAAAGCAAATGAGTCGAACCTGGTTGACCAGTCGAACCCTCATCCTGCACCAACATTGATTGTTAATATTGAATCGTTGCCTGCGTCATTGAAAGAATGATAGAATTAGTTGGTTGTTCGGTCGTCGGTTGTTTTGCTGGCCCGCGCCTCCCAACGTTGTGGTCTTGCAACATGCCAAAAACTGCCCAAGTATTGCCCTCACTATGCGGCCAAAGAACTGTTTCAACTTACGGTTCCGAGCCTTAATGCCACGAGCTCCACAAAACTTGTTCTCGGTCTTGCTAGTATAGTTTTGACCTTCAGGACCCGTGACCAGTTTTTCTATTTCTGGATTCAGCGCAATCCTCAAGCATTGACGAGGTTGAAGAATGGATCTCTTAGCGTGTGCTTTCATTGGTCGTACTTGGTCATTCATCCCATTGCATTCCTGTTTGCCATTCGGCTGGTCAGTTATCGCATTTCATTGCATTTCCGTTTGCCAACATGGCTATGTGTTATAACTATTGACTATTGGCCAAAATTTGGTTGAGCCAAAGTCGCAAGCTGTGCAGAGGTTTTTAACTGAAGGGGCTGAAGGGGTCATGTTCTGCCAGGCCAATACCAGGACGAGGAAGGAGCTTTTCAATGCAAGAAGTGCCCGCCAGGAACAACGACCATGATTTTGGGAATGAAGTCAATTTCAGGACAGATTGGCTGTTTCGAAATTTGGTACAACGTGGCAACGTGGTGCTTTGCTTCCATAGAGTTCCACCAATGAAAATTTCCCCGCCATCTGCAGGATGTGGTTGCAAGGCTGGCAGCATCGATGTCTCTGATTTGAACTCTCCACTCCGGACTGCAGCCGATTGCCAAGCCTGCACCGCCGGTCTTGACTGCCCCACCATGTCGACAGTAGCAGCGCTCAAAGCTGGTGTGTCTCCCGTGGGTGAGGAGTTTACGCCCATGGTCATCGAAGGATACTTGGATACAGAGGTATAGTTGGTCGTTCATTTTGCATTTGGGCAGGTACAAGCTCCTTCGGAGCAGGTTGCAAATGGCTCGTTTGGTGGCCAGGACTGTAAAGATCTTGTCATGAAAGATCCGGCAAAGTCTGAACTAAAACTTGTTTTTGACATTTGAAACGTGCATTTTTCATCATCTCAGCATATCCGGGGTAGCGCAACTCAGGCTACTTCAGCACCGAGTCGAAACCGATTGAGCTGTTCAAGTGCTCGAGCCCAGTCGAATGCCCAGGCGAGACTTTCACAAGCGATTCATTTTGAAGTTTGAAGTGACAAGTCGATGAAGATGACGCAATCGAATATAGGAATGGCTTGTTGCAGAGAAGGTGGGGACACAGGTATATTGTGCTCGGTCGCAAATTTTACGCCGCATTTGATTCAGGCGGAAAGCCTGACACTTGTGGTGGAGATCGCATTGGGGTTCCTTGTGGCGAATGTCCGGCTGCGACCTATTGGGCCGGATCGAAATGCTCAGGATGCACCGCATGGTCTGCGATTGGTTGGATTTTGTGCATTGCGCTCATCTTCGCAGGCGCACTGGGGAATGAAGGGGAGGGCACTTGTGCGGAGAGAAAATGAGCATAGAAATCCTACAAGTGGTAGCTTGCAAGACTTTGTGGTCAATTTGCCCACTTGGTGTCCACAATTCCTTTCGCCTGCTTTGATGTTCCAGATCTCTGTCGATGTGGCTCATTTGCAATGCTGTAGCCATAGCCCAACATTTCCACTCGTTGGGATTGGTTGTTATAGGTTACCGTTTTGCCCCTGGAGTTTTTCTGAGTATACTGTATACTGTATACTTATTTTTTTCATTTCATATCCATAGTCGTTTGCCTAGCTATGGTTTTAGTATGATCCATACTAGCCATAGTTTTAAGCAGCCGTAATCCATAATATTATCGTGTCTAGTTATGGATAATACTTCTTTCTGGAATCCTTTCTGGAATCCTTTGCTCGATCCTTTCTGCAGCCCGTGAGTTTGCTTCCACGGATGCACACCGATTGAAAGTCAGCTCTTGTCACATGACCGGAGCCTTGTGAGTCATATGACTTTGTAAATGGAGGCTTAGCCACCGTCAGTTGTATCAGTATCTCCTTGATCTGTGGGTTCACGGGTAGATCAACAAATGAGGAGGTCACTCAAAATCGTCAGCTGGAAGCTCTTACACAGGCCTGGTGGGGGCTTACTACTTCTTGAACTCGGCTGTGACGGCAAAGGCTTCCACATTGGTCAGCACGACATGCGCAGTTGGCATGATGATCAACATGCTCCAAAGCCTGGGGATCATTGGAACGATGACGGTGGGATGGCCAGTGAGCCTCAAAGGCATCTGGGGCTTCTTGCAGGCAGGCATAGCAGCATAGCAGCTTTGAAATTTCTCGTTGCGCTGCCTGAATGATCTGAGTGTTCGTGAGTCTCCAGCCCTCTAGGACCCACCAGGATTCCGAAGGCTCCTCACTTGATGACCTTAACATGAACATCATGGACATCGTCATGCGCCTCAAACCGTTCAAGTCTTTCAAACTTTTCAACGTGCCCAGTAGGTCTTTACCTTTGACATTGACGGCTTTGCATTTGCTTGCATTGCCGGTGAAAACCCAGTGGCACGCTACATTTTACTGGTGACTTGGTGTCGCTGTGGGCAGCACAACGGTAACCCCCAAATGGGACAATCACTTACGTTTGCCCTCATTGTTTGGCATCTCGTGTAAAAAAACACTGCATGAGTTGGCGATTGTCTGGGACGAAGACACTTTCTCGGATATTCACTTGGCTCACTACATTGCGTATATCAATTAAAATTTTAAGGCCCAATTTTGCTGACAATCTTGGCTCCCCTCCAAGCAAAGCTGGAATCAGTGTCGATCGACGATCAATTTCAAACCTCACGCCTTGATACGCCTTGCCAATGTTTAATTCCAAGGTCCTGTTCTTCCCAGCCGGGCTTCTTTGGTTGAGCCTCTGCGGCGTTGTTTCCAAAGTCAAAGCAAAATGGGCTTGGGACACGACCAAACTTCGAAGTACCATGGGCCAGTTCATGCAGGCGCGAGTGCTGAGGAAAGCCGTAGCCCATCGTAGCCCCATATCAGACCGGGCTCGGCATGTTAAAATCAAGGGAAGACCCTGTGTTTCGCACACGTGGGGGCTGGCAGCGCGTCGCGAACAGCATGCTGCGCTAGGTTTTGATCCACACGACTTCCAATGTCCAGACAGCGCGTAAAATCTAAAGCTTCGATGTAATTGCTTCTCCATGCGGCTCCTGACATGTGCGCTGAGACACCAATAAAACCAAAAACAATCCTGGGGCATGTTCTGCTGAGTCTACCAGAGAGGGTGCTCCCGCAGTGATAGCGCGAATTTTGTGACGGAGTGAAAGAAAAAGCCGTTTCCCTTCTAGTCTTCGCTTGTGAAGCTTACCACTAGACTAGAATCAAATTGTCGTTTGCTTTGACAACCGAATTTTCATTGTTGCAGCAACAGTTCGATGCAGTCCACTGAGTTTTGTCACGGGAAAAGAGGTCAAATTCATGCATGCACGTGAAGCCCGGTCCTTTCGTGCGCTGCTGTCTGGCGCTACGTCTCTGATTAGCACGTTGATCGCGCGAGATGGTGGCGGAAGTTTGGAATAGGATAGGATGCCTATACAAAAGCAAGGGTTGCCGATAAATATGAGATCTGAGATGTCTATAGAAGGGATGTTTGACTGCTAGAGGAGCCCTTGGTGGATGAGTTATTCATTCTCGATGGCTGATTCAATGTCCATGACTTTGCCTTTGTGCGCAAGTTCACAGGCCAAAAATCACGTGTCCATTGTGTTCATTCTATTTCATCACTCTTTCATGTTGTTCTTGCTTTTGATTGTCTTGCCTCCTCTTCTCTTCTCTTGTGTTACTCTGCAGGACCTTGCCTTCACTTTAACTTACCAGTAGTACCCGCACGAGGCGGGGCGGAAGTTGCCTTAAAGATATATATAAGACCTTTCTCATCTATAGAACTTGCATGCGCCGTGCGCCAGCCAAGCCCGTGTGTGCGTGCACTCTGCGAAAGTGGTGTCCCGTTTCACATGTCACATTTGAAGCTCCACTTCGCCCTTCACACTTCTCACTGCACTCTTCACACTCCACACTGCACACTTCACACTTCACACTCCAGACTTCTCACTTCACACTGCACTCTTCCCAATCCACACTTCACACTTCACACTCCACACTTCACACTTCACTCTTCACAGTCCACACTTCACACTTCTCATTGCTTTCTTCACACTCCACACTTCACACTGCACTCTTCATGCCCCACACTTCACACTGCACTCTTCACACTCCACACTTCATCTCATCTGAGCTCTTCTCACCTTATCCCAGCTCATCTCTTCTCATCTCATCTCTTCTCATATGTCACCTAAGCTTTCATGAATCACTTTCCAGTACTACTACTAAGGAACTTGCATGCAGTGCTGCCCGAAGAACATGACCTGCGCGCGACCCCGGTACAATGCAAACACTTTCCTCACACTTCACATTGCACTCTTCACACCCCACACTCCACACTTCACACTTGCACTTCATCTCAACTCATCTCATCTGAGCTCTTCTCATCTCATTCCATCTCTTCCCATATGTCAGCTAAGTTCTTCTTGGCTATTTTCATGTCAAGTACTTCCCAGTACTGATGTCTACTACAAAAGCTTGCACAAAACACGTTCCAGTACTACTTTGTACTACAAAGCTTGCACAAAACACGTTCCAGTACTACTTTGTACTACAAAGCTTGCACAAAACACGTTCCAGTACTACTTTGTACTACAAAGCTTGCACAAAACACTTCCCAGTAGTACTGTGTACTACAAAGCTTGCACAAAGTACTTCCCAGTACTACTTTGTATCACAAAGCTTGCACAAAACACGTTCCAGCACTACTTTGTACTACAAAGCTTGCACAAAGCACTTCCAGTACTACTTGTACTACAAAGCTTGCACAAACTACTTCACAAACCTTACTTTGCAGCTACCCAAAAAAAGTTCCACTACTTGTACTACAAAGCTTGCACAAAACACTTCCCAGTACTACTTTGTACTACAAACAAAGCTTGCACAAAACACTACTTTGTACTACAAAGCTTGCACAAAACACTTCCCAGTACTACTTTGTACTACAAAGCTTGCACAAAACACTTCCCAGTACTACTTTGTACTACAAAGCTTGCACAAAACGCGTTCCAGTACTACTTTGTTCTACATAGCTTGCACAAAGCACTTCCCAGTACTACTGTGTACTACAAAGCTTGCACAAGCTACTTCCCAGTACTACTTTGTACTACAAAGCTTGCACAAGCTACTTCCCAGTACTACTTTGTACTACAAAGCTTGCACAAAACACGTTCCAGTACTACTTTGTTCTACATAGCTTGCACAAAGCACTTCCCAGTACTACTTTGTACTACAAAGCTTGCAAAAGCTACTTCCCAGTACTACTTTGTACTACAAAGCTTGCACAAGCTACTTCCCAGTACTACTTTGTACTACAAAGCTTGCACAAAACACTTCCCAGTACTACTTTGTACTACAAAGCTTGCACAAAACACGTTCCAGTACTACTTTGTACCACAGAGCTTGCACAAAACACTGCCCAGTACTACTTTGTACTGCAAAGCTTGCACAAAGCACTTCCCAGTAATACTTTGTACTACAATTGCACAAAGCACTTCCCGGTACTACTTTGTATCACAAAGCTTGCACAAAGCACTTCCCAGTACTACTTTGTACTACAAAGCTTGCACAAAGCACTTCCCAGTACTACTGTGTAATACAAAGCTTGCACAAAACACGTTCCAGTACTACTTTGTACCACAAAGCTTGCACAAAACACGTTCCAGTACACTTTGTACTACAGAGCTTGCACAAAGCACTTCCCAGTACTACTGTGTACTACAAAGCTTGCACAAAACACGTTCCAGTACTACTTTGTACTACAAAGCTTGCACAAAACACGTTCCAGTACTACTTTGTACTACAAAGCTTCTACACACATCAAGTTCTTTCGCAGAGAAGCTTTTACACACAGCAAGCTTTTCAAGCAGAGAAGCTTTTACAGACAGAAGCTTTTACACACAACAAGCTTCTTCACAGAGAAGCTTTCACACACAGCAAGCGTTTACACACAGAACACTTACACACAATGCTTTTACACATGGCAAGCATTTACACACAACAAGCTTTTACACAGACGAGCTTTACACAGCAAGCTTTCACACACAGCAAGCTTCTTCACAGAGAAGCTTTTACACACAGCAAGCTTTCACACACAGCAAGCGTTTACAGACAGAACACTTACACACAGTGCTTTTACACATGGCAAGCATTTACACACAACAAGCTTTTACACAGACGAGCTTTACACAGCAAGCTTTCACACACAGCAAGCTTCTTCACAGAGAAGCTTTTACACACAGCAAGCTTTCACACACAGCAAGCGTTTACAGACAGAACACTTACACACAGTGCTTTTACACATGGCAAGCGTTTACACACAGAAACTTTTGCACAGAGACGCTTTTACACACAGAGAAGCTTTTACACACAGCAAGCTTTTACACACAAAATCTTTTTCACACAGCAATTTCACACACAGCAAGCGTTTACACACAGAACACTTACACACAGTGCTTTTACACATGGCAAGCTTTTACACACACAGCAAGCTTTTTAAACAGAGAAGCTTTTACACACAACAAGCTTTTACACAGAGAAGCTTTTACACGCAGCAAGCTTTCACACACAGCAAGCGTTTACACACAGAACACTTACGCACAGTGCTTTTACACATGGCAAGCGTTTACACGCACAGAAACTTTTACACAGAGACGCTTTTACACACAGAGAAGCTTTTACACACAGAGAAGCTTTTACACACAGCAAGCTTTTACAGAAAAGTTTTTGCACAGAGAAGCTTTCTTGTACATAATCACAACAGGAATTGCAGCTCCAAAACCGGATTCTCGACGCCAAAGCGACAAAAAGACGATTTTGAAGCACTTTTAAAAGAAATTTTAAAAGGAAAATTACTATACCAAAATTGCGAAAATCTACTGACAAATCACTATCGCAGCCTGGATGCAGCCACTCCAATACGATTTACGATGTTCAGCTGCAAAAGACAATAGTATTACGCATGCAGCCGCGGCACCGAGCAATCTTGACGCAGCCACTACAATGCGATCTGCAGAGACTGAGTTGCAAAACACATTAGAACTACCCGCAACGGTGTCGGAAATTGCAGCTCCAAAACCGGATGTCGACGCCAAAGCAGAAAAAAGACGATTTTGAAGCACTTTTTAAAAGGATTTTTAAAAGGAAAATTACTAGCGTGAAAATTGCGAAAATCTACTCGCAAATCACTATCGCAGCCTGGATGCAGCCACTCCAATACGTTATAGACCCAGATTGTCAGCAATTCTTGGCCAACCGTTTCCAGTGTGCTTTGCTCTGCCTATTTAACAAAGTGAGCAGGAGTAGGAGTAGCCAAAAGCTTTCCTTGCACCTGTGCGCTGGTAGATTTTCCTGTCGAGCTACTATGGTCTTCAAGTGGTAGCCAGCGGTTTTGCCTGCAGCCCTGCGGCTTGGAAGTGCAGCCAACTAAGCAGCAAACATTTCATTGCAAATCTTCAGATGCTTCTGGGGTAGTCTTTCAGCTGCCCCGCATATCTACACGTTACGGCGTAGGCAAGGCAACAGTCTATCGAAAAAAACGGCTTTGCAGTACTGTGACTTGCTTTGAGCATGGTCAGTCAGCATGACATGCTGTGATGCTTTGCAGATCTTTGGATTGTCATGACTTTGTTGAAGAGATTGAAAGAGTTCATGTATGATGGATGCAGTGCATCCTGCGTTTGCGAGATTTTCAATTCGCAACAGCAACAATTTAAATTAACAAATGCAAAAACTACTCGAGTTCGTGGATTTGTCTTGAATCTCTTTCTCCACCCCAGGGACATCATTCAGAGACCAAAGGCTTTAGTAACTTGGAGGACTCGTGATTCAAGGCGAGATCTCACAACTTCGTCTGGTCTCCAGTGATGGTCATTTGATTTGGGAATTGCAGCTTCGTGCCTATATAGTTGGTCCAGCCTTGTCACCAAATGAAGTTGCATGTAACTCACTGCCTTGGGACAACCACATGATTTTGTTTTGTAGAGTTTGGGGTTTTGGTGCAGCCGATGCCCCATTGCCAGCTGTTCAGGTGGGTGCTCGATGAGCGCCTGATCTTCACGGATTTCGCCACGAGGCGTGGGGTTTTCCGTGCAGCATGCCAAGTCCGCCGCGGCCATGAGGATTTTAAGTTTGGCCACAGATTCCACAGTGTTTTTAATTTTGCAGGTTGTCATGAGCAGAATCCAACCCCGCAGGCTCGGATTTCTCAGCTCACATCGGTTTTGACAAATTTGGATCTTGCGAGGAAATCACAAGTGTTTGGGGCCTTCAAAGGCTCGTTTGACGGCTTCAGAATGATTTTTTCTCATGTAATTGATTTCGAACGATACATTTTCAATTAGAAACTGAGCGATCATAGTGACTAGGAGTGCCCTACAAGACTTGCGTTCATTGTCCCAAAGCAAAACGTCACCCAGGTCACCCAGGTCACCCAGGTCACCCAGGTCACCCAAGATAAGAGGGGTTGATTTGTGCCACAAACATTGAGTAGGAAGGCACTTCCAGGAGAATCGATATACTAACCATATGGGTAAAGAATGGTCAATGATGGCAGAACATGGTCAATGTCAGCGCAAGGCTTGCCACATTGCATCTTGGGGGTCCAGACTCTCGGTGCTTCAGCGTTTAGCATTTGCTTAGAAAACAGTGTGGTGAGTGTACAGCCGATTTCGATGCGGGCAAAAGCGCAATCTAGTCGCAGTTGTTGGCTTCTTGACCTCTCTGACCTCAAGTGAAAGTTGATGGAAGTGGTTGGGATTGAGTTTGAGCAGGTCAGGATCAACTTTGGAATGTAGCTTGGCATGGCGCAGTTTGCAGCTCCAACATGCACAGGAACCAGTAAAACTTAAGGACATCATGCAGTAGGACAGTAATATTACAGTAAGTGGCAACGTTGGAATGGGAACTGGAGTTTACCACAGATTCAAGAGTTATTGGATCGGTGCCTTTGCAAAAGTCATTGGCATTTTCCTTTCCTTGCTGCCACTGCTTCCTGAATTCATTGCCAAGTCTGCAGTGCTTGGCTTCAGCTTTGGATGCAAGTCGTACATCCAGGACCAGGAACATGTCGGAGCTCGTGCATTTTCTTCGTATTTGGTTTGTCGGTTTCAATTTCATGCTGAGCGATTTGGCTGTGGATGCTGTGGTTTGTGCACTTTGTTTTCTCAGGTTCTGCTGCAGGCTTTCGAGCCTTCGACAATCTTTGTTTGACTACTACAGGATACTACAGGACTTGGGAAGGGGAAAGAAACTAAAATGATATAACATGTCTAATATGCGTGTCAAAGCTTTGCTTCGAATTCCAGGCACAAGAGGCGAGAGAGGGAGAGATAGATAGATGGATGGATGGATGGAAGGATGGATGAATGGATGGATGGATGGATAGATAATGATAGATAGATATATACATAAATAGATAGATAGATAGATAGATAGACAGATAGAGAGGATAAAGAGGATAAAGAGGATAGAGAGGATAAAGAGGATAGAGAGGATAGAGAGGATAGAGGGATAGAGAGATATAGAGATAGAGACAGAGAGAGAGTCGAGAGACAGAGAGACAGAGAGCTTAGATATTTGTTACAGAGAGCTATAAATATTCTATATATTACATTAGATATTTGTTTGCTTCGATTTTGTTTCTAGCTTTTTGATTCTCCTCGGGAGAGCTAAGCAGGCAACTGACCGTTTCTTGACCGTTAGCTGAGCTCCTTCTGCTGGGTTCGCATGCTTTAATATTTTAAACTAACACCCTGAGCCGTTTTCAACATGTTTCAATATATTTGTCATGGTTCAGATGCTTTTCTTCGGTCAAATATGTAAAAGAAACCATAAATTAATCCTAAAGAAACCATAAATGAAACCCTAAAGAAACTTTAAGTGACACCCTAAATGACATCCCAAAGAAACCCTAATCAACACTCTGAACAAAAAAACTAAATGAAACCTTAACTGACACCTTAGCTGAAACCATAAACTGACACCCTAGAGAAACCCTAAATGAAACCCTAAATTGAAACCCTAAATGAAACCCTAAATTGAAACCCTAAATGAAACCCTAAACAAACCCTAAATGAAATCCTAAAGAAACCCTAAAGAAACCCTAAATGACACCCTAAATGAAACCCGAAAGGAACCCTAAAGGAACCCACTTGAACGTTTAGAAATCGTGAAAAGAAATCCTGACAAGACACCCTGGAATGAAGCCCTAAAGAAACCTTAAATGAAACCCTAAATTGAAACCCTAAAGAAACCTTAAATGAGACCCCAAATGAAACCCAAACTGAAACCCTAAAGAAACCCTAAATGAAACCCTAAACGAAACTTTAAACGAAACCCCAAATGACACCCTAAATGAAACCCTAAAGGAACCTTAAAGGAACCCACTTGAACGTTTAGACATCGCGAAAAAAAATCCTGATAAGAAACCCTGGAATGAAACCGTAAAGAAAGTTTTAATGAAACCCTAAAGAAACCCTAAATGAAACCCTAGAGAAGCTCTAAAGAAACTCTAAATGAAACCCTAAAGAACCTTAAATGAGACCCTACATTGGCCCTACATGAAACCCAAACTGAAACCCTAAATAAACCCTAAATGAAATCCTAAATGAACCCCTAAACGAAACCCTAAAGAAACCCGAAATGAAACCCTAAAGAAACCCTGAATGAAACCCTAAAGAAACCCTAAATGAAACCCTTAATGAAACCCCAAATGAAGCCCTAAATAAAACCCTAAATGAAACTTAAATGAAACCCTAAATGAAAGCCTAAAGAACCCTCAAGAGACCCACATGAACGTTTGAAACACCAAAATCTAGCAAATACCATGCAAATGAGAGGTTGAAATGCCAAAATATGACAAATACCATGCAAAATGGAAGGCAAACATGGCCAAATGTAGCAAATACCATGGAAAATGCAAAGTGACCATGCCAAAATGTAGCAAATACCATGCAAAATAACAGGTTCTAGTTCCAAACTGTTACAAATACAAGGCAAATGGTATCGGGAAAGAAAGCAAACAAAAAAACCTGGGGCAAAAAAAAAGATCCAAAAACTATTCCACACCCTATGTAAAATGTCTGGATAGATTACATTTGAATTGCCAAGCAAGAGGTCCCAATTAATATTGCAGTCTGACCTAGAAGCTATTTCCTGAGTGTGAACAGATTCTAGGTCAGATTGGCGTTCCGCTGCTGACGCTTCATCCATTTTTTCGCGGGCTCAATGTTGCTCACCTGCAGGCGAATGATGACACACGTTTGATTCACATTTTGTCCCAGTGTATCTGGCGGAAGAACTTAGGATACTCGAGCAAGGAGTTAAGCAACAAACTCGCGTAAACCATTTGGGGCTCAGCAGTCAAAGATTGAACATGTGCAATTCAATAGCCTGATTTTGCTCTTAAGAGGAAACGGTCTGAATTGAACACTTGAGTTCATTCAAACTTATTCATGTGGATCAATTTGATGTTTGACGGAGGCCATCAAAGAGGCGGGGGCTGCAGTGACCGCACCTGGGCAGGGGCGCTGAGATTTTTGTTGCTGGCACCACAGCAACCTGCATGTAGGTGATTGCCAAGGCAAGTTTGAACATTGCACCGGAGTTTGACCTTGAGTCAACCGCCGTTTGTTTATGTTTCTTGTAGACCGTTTTTCTTACATTCCGCAATCATTCCTACATCAATCTAACCATTCTGATCCCGGATTTCGTGTCATTCCCATCTGCAGGGGGCACGTTATACGACAACGATGCGGTACATCGAGCCAAGAGGCACGCCATGCCATGAAAATGTATGAAGCATATGAGTCGTCTGAGTGTTTGGCTACAATTAGCTGCCCACATGGAAACATCCTCATCTTGAAGTATCTCGAATCTTTCATGAGAATCTTGAGTTCTTTGTCCATCTTTGCCCGTGGATCGTCATCATGGTGTCGTTTTTTGGACGGCATTCAGACCCAGGCTGAAGGATCTAAAGGTGACTGTTGGGATGGCATGCATGTGATTTCAAGTTGTGTACCTGTGACAATCGGGCCGAAAAAAAGGATGTAGTAGCAGCCGAAGAGGGGCGGTGGAAGAATCCAAGAACGCATAGGTCACGACATGGTGCAAAATGGAAGGGGAAAAACGACACAGAATGATCAGAATGTCAGATTAAAGAGACTCAATTAGAACAATAATTAGGACCATGTCATTGAATATCATTTATCGTTTCTTTGATGTGTCAGATGTCGCGCATTGCATCTCGGACTTTTGCAAGGACTTTGCCAGGTGAATGGTTTGTTCGGAAAGCTGCTGCGAGGTGCAAAGTATGTGTCTTTTAGGTGCAAATTAAAAGACACATACTTTGAACCACAAAAAACACCAAAAAACACCGGTAGTTTTTTTTTCAGATCGGTTTTTTAATGGACCAATGGAGGAGTGAAAGATGTGCTCTAAAAATTGCCCAAGGTACTGGTATAGAAACCGTGTTTTGTGACAAAAGTAAGCTTAAAACCATTTTTTTTAGAGCACAAAATAGAGTTCACCTCCAAAGGCTATCATATGTTGTCATAAATCACTGGCATCTACAGACCTTGTGACAGGACTCAACGTTTCCTGTGGGGCTTGCAAAGAACTACAAACAATCAACACATAACAACAACCATTTGCTGCACAGCATGTCATAAGAATGGGTAGCTGTGCATCTTGGAACAGAATATACAGTAGCAATAGGTGGCTAGTGTGATAGAGGTGATGAAGATATTCTACTGTTGGAAGCAACTGATATGATATAGCTGTTTCTTCATGAACTTATGAGATTGATATCATCTCAACATACACTGTATACAGAAGCATCGGCACTACATAAGAAGTATGGTGGGTAGGGCATACATTATGTAGGTGCATATACACAAGCACATCTAACACTCTGGACAAGAAGGATGTTTTTTTATGTTACAACTTACAACTCAAGAAGTAGGTACGTATTTTGTTTATCATTGTTATCTTGCGGAGTCTTGTCAGCAGGCTCATTTCAATAGTTAGACAGAGAGAGAGAGAGAGAAAGCCAGAGAGACAGAGACGTGTGTCATGCTGTTGACTATTGAGATCAGGTAACCTGTGTGGTGGCATAGATATTCAAAGATAATGGCTGATAATGGTATGTTTGCTTCTTTGAAACATCGGCTTAAAATATGGCCAAGATCCAAACATACACAATCAAGCCTGCACCCAAGGGACAGTTGCAGTCATTATTGTCAAACATAACTTAGCTATCAAAAAAATATTCAATTACATATCAAATTTATCAACAAATAATGTAATGGTTATCACTGAAGAAGTTGGACACATTTCCTGTTTGTCATCCTGTATCTTATCTTGTAGAGCTTTGTCGGCAGATTCATCGTAAAAAGATGCTGCACTCGTTATTGAATTGGCTTTTGAAATCCAAACATGTATGATCTAGCCTGCAGTCAAGAGGCAACTGCAATTGAAATTCATCAAGGCGATATTAGCAATAGATGAAGTAACAGTAATAGAAGGTTTGATGAAATGTTAGCTGTGTTTATTGATTGTTTTGTGTTGCTTGTCAATGTTTTGTGAGGTTAGATCCACCAAACCTGCATAGGATTTTTTTTAGAAAAACAAAAAAGCAAACCACTAGATGCACCAAACCTGCACAGGTACCAAAAAAAAAACAAAAAATCCAGGAAC